AAAGCCCGTCGAGCCATGCCAATACAACTTCGACGCCGCCCTTACCAGCGCCGACTCCATGGTCAAGACCGCCCGTGTCCTTGAGGCCGTCGGTGTCTCTGCCTACCTCGGTGCCGCTCCTCTCGTCAACTCTTCCGACATCCTGTCCGCCGCCGGTTCCATCCTCACTGTCGAGGCCCGTCACCAGGCTTTCATCCGTATCGCATCCGGTGCCGAGCCCGTCCCCGCCGCTTTTGACACTGCTCTCCAGCCCCGCGCCGTCTTCACCCTCGCCGCCCAATTCATCAAGTCTTGCCCCGAAGGCTCCAACCTCAACATTCAGGCCTTCCCCGCCATCGCTCTCCAGAACCCCGAGAAGGCTACCGTTGGTCAGAACCTGAAGCTTGCCGACCCCGCTCAGCCTGCTGGTGCCTCTTTCTGCGCTTTCGTCGGACCGTAAGTCACTCCACGTACCCTTTTACAAAGACTCATATTCTAACACATCACAGTGGCGGCAACCAGTTCACCAAGATCACCGATGGCAACTGCATGGTTCCCCAGGGCCTCCAGGGAGAAGTCTACATGATGATCACCAAGAGCGAGTCCGTTGCCGATGCCGAGGTCCTTGCCGGTCCCTCCGTCATCCAGCCCTCATAGACGTCTTCACCCACATGACTAGACGAACTTTCAGAACGCACTGTCTTTCCATTTCATTATTCATTTTACACAAAGAAAAAGACAGGGGCTGAACGACCAAGGGGCCAGTGGGCGAGCAGAAGCATCACAGGAGCGAAAGGGCGCGCGACTGTTGCAAAGCGAGTATGTGTATATGGACGATTTACCTTTCCTCACAGTCGTTGAAATACAAGCGTTGATCTCAAGAACGGTTTTTTTTTCCTTTTATCATTATTTCTTTTCAGCATGTGGTCAGTGGTGGGCAGTTGTAGAGAGCTCGAGAGAAGGACAACAGGATACCCCCAGCATGGATGGATGCATGGTAACGGGTGAGCGCGATTCCGCGAATCAGCTCAAAACGGTGGTAATAATAGCAGGTATAGCATGAAATGAGAACGATTAACGATTTTCATGTCTGGAACTGCTGTTGATACAAGTGACATGTCACAGTTTGCGACGTAGAGTGACGCGACTAGTTGTCTTGCGACTGCGACTGTGTTGGTTTCAGTTTTTTTTTCGCATTTTGTCGACGCTTCGGGTTTGGTGCGAGATCTTAGTCGGGTTTCAGTTGGTCTGTAACAACGTGATTAATAACACGCCGTGACATCCAAACACATGTCTCTATTTTCGAAGTTGCGGTGTTATACTCTATCTCTTCACCAGATCCTTAGACTTTTGGTATGGTGATGGTAGCATTGTAGTAATTACGAGATGCCTAGCGGCGGTTTACTTACGGAAAGTTCGCACTCCCGAAGATCAACCTTTTCCTTCCCTTTTTTGGTCAGCCGGGCAGTTCGATCCACCAGCAACCTGCCTGCTGATTAGCCGTATGTCGAACCGACTGCAAAGTGTAGGGATCCCACTCATCCCCGCCTTGTGCGCGTGTGCTAGAGAACGTCGGCGGTGGCTAAAAAGATATCGTCTAGATGGAGTGGTTGCTCGCAGTCTTCGGCTGCTTTGAGTAATAGTTGCGAGCTCTGCGAGATCATGGGCCTGGATTTGAGGATGCAGATATAAAGGTGCGCAGGTAGTGTGTTTATGAGTTGCGCGTAAATTGTGGTCATCGAGGTTGTTGAGCTTGATAGTGGAAAACGTCATAGCCCTTTGGAGGAGTTGGGTTAAGCTCGTATCTCGTCAGCCCTTTTTACTTTTACCGCTACTCTTGGCTTTATATCTCACAACCTTAAAGCTTTAACGTCAAGTTTCCTCTTCAACTACGCCATCCCTGGGAATAATCGTAGGTGACACCTAAACCACCCACGCTCACCATCCCAACAACCCAACAATGGCGCTGAACCACCAAAACGGCACGTCGTCAACCTGCCTCGAGCAACCCATCGAACTCCAAGACGTATCGAGCTACATTTCCAAACCTCAGGATGCACAGATCGCCAGCTCAAGCAGTACCGGCGGCCTGCGACTCTCAGATACAAAAGGTGCTCGGGAAAGCGATCCGATAGAGAACCTGCCGTCGCCAACGACCCAAGCGCCAGCCAAGTTGGAACGATGGAACCATCCACGATCGAACTTTTTCAAGACCATGGCGGCGTTTTGGAGTTTCGTCGTCATGGGGAGTAACGATGCGGCGTACGGTGCTTTGATTCCTTATGTAAGTCAATATCGTATGTCTGAGTGGAGAAGTCGCGATCGATGGGAGGGAAGAAAGGCATAAATGCTAACAAACGACTTTAGTTACAAGAATACTACAGCCTCACCTTCGTCGTCATCTCGCTAGTATTCTTATCCCCACTTGTCGGCTACACAGCCTCCGCACTGCTGAACAATAGTATTCATCTCAAGTTCGGCCAGAGAGGTGTTGCGGTCATAGCGCCAACGTGCCATCTCATCGCGTATATCGTTATTGCGGTGCATCCCCCGTATCCGGTACTTGTTATTATTTTCATGTTGGCTGGATTCGGAAATGGACTTGCTGATGCGGCGTGGAGTGAGTCATCTTACCTCTTCTACTCTGTTCTGATGAAGGAAAAGAAGAAGAACAGAAAGACAGAACATTTCGACTAACACCACAACCAATAGATGCCTGGATCGGCAACATGGCGAACCCAAACGAAGTCCTCGGTTTCCTGCATGCCTTCTACGGCGTAGGCGCCGTGCTATCCCCCTTGATAGCAACGACTATGATTACAAAAGGAAGCAGACTACCCTGGTACACCTTCTACTACGTCATGGTACTTTCCCTTCCCTCATCCCTCCTCGTCTCTCCATCCCTAACACCTGCAGATCGCAATGGCAGCTATCGAGCTCGCAACCTCAACAACAGCCTTCTGGCGCGAAACCGGCGCCGCATTCCGCGCAGCCAACCCGCGCACCAGCGGCACGAAAGACAACCGCATGAAAGAGGCGCTTATCCGTCTGCCCCACGCACGTGTCACGTGGCTGTGCGCGCTCTTCTTGCTCGGGTACGTGGGTATTGAAGTCGCGCTAGGCGGCTGGATCGTCAAGTTTATGCTTGAAGTGAGGGATGGAGAGGAGTTTGCGAGTGGCATGGTGGCGACGGGGTTTTGGATGGGAATTACCGTGGGGAGGATCGTGCTGGGGTTTGTTACGCCGAGGTTGGGGGAGAAGTTGGCTATTACTGTGAGTTCTTTTTTTTTTCGTTTCTCCATTCCTTTCTTCCCGGTCTTACGTGTACTAACTCTGACATGCAGATCTACCTCCCTCTCACCATGGCCCTCGAACTCATCTTCTGGCTCGTCCCGCAGTTCTACGTCTCGGCCGTCGCTGTAGCCCTCCAGGGCTTCTTCCTTGGTCCTTTGTTCCCGGCTGTAGTCGTGGCAGCTACGAAACTTTTACCGCGCCACTTGCACGTTGGTGCTATTGGGTTTGCGGCGGCTTTTGGTGGGAGTGGAGCGGCTATCTTCCCTTTTGCGGTCGGAGCTATTGCGCAGGCCAAGGGTGTGCAGGTGCTGCAGCCCATTATTTTGGCGCTGTTGGGCGTGATTTTAGTGCTGTGGCTGGGCTTGCCGAGGATACATAAGAAGGAGGAGTGAGATGTTGGAGGGTTTGAGTAGGGTGTAAGCTCTAGAGATATTTATTATATAACGGAATCTAGATATGCAAGGAAGCCGCTGACAAACTTTGCGAAATGGATGACTTTGGCCATTCTCAGACCAATAAATTCATTTCCCTGAAAGCCTAGCTTTGTTTGATACCCTGCACTCTTCCTCTCGATCTTCCCCTCCTCCCCTCCCCTTATCGTCTTCCACTCCTTCACCGCCGCACCAACCTCCATCCCATCTACCAATTCTCCAAGCATCAGCATTCGAAGCCTCAAATTCCATTCAAATCCACACATGCACAACTCACCAGTCAAACGACCTACTCTATCCATAACCCTATCCCACATATCCTCCATCGCATCGACCAGGGTATCCGTTTCGTGGTTCTGTTAACAAGCTTCCAGCTATTCTCGGATGTGGTTCGTGTGACGGCGAATAGTTTCGTTGTGTATAGAGAGAGGTTGCTGTTATGAATGAGAGGGCTGAGGATGGCTCGATGCGCGACGTGCTTCCGGTGAAGATGATTCTGTAAAAGGTCTTGGTGTTGGACTTCTCCGCGGTGAGAAGGGGTGCGCTTTCTAGTTTATCGATGAGTTATTAGCTTTTTGCTTTTCTGGCTTCTAAGGGGCCTTACCCCTCTTCGTTTGTTCCATCTTGACCTGATTTGAGAAGTGAATGGGCTGTACCAGCTGCGCACATATCGATGATCCACCCTTTGACTACTTCAACGAATTACAGTTGCCCCAGTTTATCTGGACCCGCTGTTTTTGAGCTATTGAATGCGTGACTGTGCTTCGTCACGACATTGATCGTTGGTAGTGGAGCTTGTGTATCGAGGAAGAGCCGCATCGACAGCTTCTCGATGGCGTAATTTGGCGGGCCCGCGGAGTCTTTGCGCGCATTATTGCCAGTGGAAGTAGAAGTCTCGGATGAGGAGGAAGGTGTAAAGATGCTTTGGACAATCAAGTCATTGATTCGGGCCTTGAGATCGGCGAATTGTAGGATGAGCATATTTGACGTTGTTTGAGCGTTTCTGCGGTTCGTTCGAAGGTTCAGGGAGAAGTAGTACGTGGGAGAAAGCTGAGGAGACACGTGTGGCGGTCACAGAGTAGTATCATGGTGAGCGTAGAAGATGTGGCAAGCGTCGTGGGTACTGGGGGTGTTCGACGGATAGCGCGTTGTTTGCAAAAGCTCCTGCTATTGATGCGATGGAAGAAACTACAGGTGCGAGCCAGTCATCTGGTCTAACAACACGAGATTAAGTAAATACATTCTGAATCTACGAAGGAAACTACAGATTATGCATTGAGGGAAGCGACGATTTTGTCATTCCTGTGCGTTATCTGCAAACCGTCGATCATCAGGACATCTAAGCCGAGCATTCTTCGACCTCCTATTCTTTTTCAGCCCTCCTTTCTAGTACGAAGCCACCTCTGCCTTATCCTTCTCTCCCTCAACCGTACCCTCCCTCTCCTCAAAAGCCTTGGCCAAAGTCTTAGCCTTCTCCTGTGCAATCTGCATCCCCGCACCCGCGGCTGCTTTGAGTCCGTCGGCCATAGATATCACAACTTGCTTCATCATGACCATAGTATCGCCACCAGCAAGCACACCTCTAACGCTCGTCTCGTTGAACATTGCGTTTGCGATCTTGATATGTCCGCCCATTGCCGGGTCCACCGTCTCGATGCCGAGCTGCTCGATGAGATGCTGCGCGCGGTTGACCGTAACGGGCCTATGAACGAGGAAACCGAGGGTAGCCGGTTCGCCGGCCTCGAAGTGAATCGTCACGCCGTCTGTGTGGCTTGGGCCGTTGTTGACTAGGCGAACGATCTTTCGCTCGTCAAGCGTTGCACCAAAGGCTTTTGCGAGCTTCAAAGCGTCTTGTACTGGCGCTTCCTTCTTGATGGGTCCGTTGCTGAATATGGTGATGGAGGTAGGCTCGAGAGGGACTGCCATTTGGACCATATGTGCGTACGAGGGATGGTCAAAACCCAGGATGCCGACTGCGCTCCCGCGTTGTTCGAAGCCGTCGCAAGCTAGACATTGGTATATGTGGGCTGGCCAATTCTCCTTGTAACCTGGAAGATCGGGAAGGATATCTTTCGAACCGGTAGCTAGGATGATCTTCTTGCCCTCGTACGAGTGGCCTTCGCTGTCCTTGACTTCGAAGCCGTCATATAAGTCCTTCTCATCTGGCAACGACAATTGTTTCTTCGATGCATGGGTAATCGTAGCATATTGAAACCAGACGCTGTCGTATCGAGATTCGATCTGTTCACGAGCTATGCGGCCGAACTCTCTGGGGTTGAAGTGGTCGCGGGAGGCTACAGTATGCATGTGCGTGACACCTTCATTGCGGTACTGTTTGTTATCAAATACGATAGCTTTGGTGCGTGTTCTTGCACAGGTGAGCGCGGCATTTAGCCCTGCTGGACCTGAGCCGATGATGAGTATGTCGAATGTCTGGGGTCGAGATCGGAGCGCCATCTTGCTGGGACTTCAGTATGTAGCTGTCAAGGTAAAACTCTAACGATCAGAGATCTTCCAAGTCTCTGATTATGATTTCAAAAGATGAAGTGAGGTTGCGGTGGATGTTGTGGTTGAGGGTCAATCGAACGTCCAGCCATCTTTATACACTATGAACACCAGCTCCGCGGCAGAAGGCTCCGATGCAAGTACACTGCCCAGCATGTTCGCCATCAAGGTACAGATTGTTCGGAACCATGCAAGGAAGAGACTGTATGGCGCATGGCATCTAGGGTAAAGTCCCCGATCAATATTGGAGGGACAGTGACGGAATGTCTCCGAGAAAGTTTCCGGACCAAAACTAACAAACTTGTTTCTCAGAGAATATATACCCTACCTAACATGAGGTGTTTGGTTCGCTGTATGGTCCATACGAGAATGCCGTGGATGTGATAACTAGTGGATAGCAGCGCCAGTGGTGGTGAGGAATTGTCCAGAGGATCCTCAAGTCGTCAAGTCTCCCTGGTGTAGCATATTGCGCCTTGATGCAGCGTCGGTGTCGAAACTTGATTCATATATTTCATGATTGATGAGCTGGTACAGTCAGACTGTACGAAGCTGTGATGTGGTGATGAGAGGGCGAGGACGTGACTACCCTGAGGGCGCCGTTGCTGCACCACGCTAGCATGAACCCCACATTGGCAGTATAATTACGCCAGATCCAATACACCTAACACCTGAGTATCACGTATGAGGTACAACTACCATAGCCTCTCACATCCAGCACGGGTCCCAGTTGCCATGGCTGAATATACACCCGAAGCAAATAACAACGAGAACGTAACTACGAATTGTGTCCTTCTCTACCAAGCATCCTGTGATTGATCCCTATACCCATCTGGTTCTGTAATATACTCAGGTGTAGCACTTTTCTCTCGTTCAGCTACGTCAGAGTCAGTCTTCTCCATTCGATATCGCAATTACCCAGGTGCATAGCAACAACTCACCTAACACCTCCTCAAATCCGAATAGAATCCCTTGTTAGGTATTACTGAAAATCATGACTGCGTCTGAAGAAAGCGTCTCGGAAAGCTTCAAAACTGCCAGCTCATCGCGGCATTACGAGCTGGCATTACGAGCTGAAGCGATTCGGAAGTAATGAATCGTCCTCTATGCAAAATGAAGATACACTGAACAGGACAGTTGAAGTCAGTACAGGATACCTTGCCGCCATATTTAGCCACGACTATCCCAACAACCAACATTTCGAAATCCTGACTGGTTCAAAGACCATTGTCGACGACAAGGGCCAAAGGTGGGCTATTTACTCTACAAAAGCGCTAGTGTATCTAGATTCTGGTTGCAGCAAGAGGCATTTGGTTGCTGAAAGTGAAAAGATTGGTTACACACCTGTGAAGGCGATGGAGAATTTCCTTAGTTGGGCCATGGTCAGCAAACCGAAGCTGACTATATAGTCACTTTAATTCTAACACGTTTGCCCAAGTATGTCACTATTTCATTGTTGACTACAGGCATTTCTTCTGGAACAGCCAGGTCGAAGCCGGGAAGTACTATACAAGAATGATGTAGACCCTTCGCATCTTCACGAGGGTTTATCTGCATCATAGATGCCCTCATGTAGGGTTCAGAGAGCCTGGGTGCCAACCGTAGAAATCCGCAGCTGCGTTGTATGCTTTGACGTTATATCCTCGTCTCTCCATATCCAAGTGACATTACGCCGTGTTCGAATGGTATCGCCTCGTCTGCTGATTGCATCGGTCCACCCCATGTCACCACACCCCTCCCATCCACCGAATATGAGCCTCCAACCTGCCATCTACATGCGCCTTCTCCAACCAGTTGTCCCCAAACCCCCTCATTCTTCCTGAGCATGACCTGGTTATAGCCATTCCTGGGATGCAGGACATGGCCCCAAGTAGCTATGCCCAGACCCCACAGCGCGTATAGTTCCCGGTCTTGGTCTACTACTACGTCTACATTCCAGGCCCCTCCGAGTTTTTTGACCCATTCTGTAGTTGCAGCAGGTGTGCAGTGCGATATTGCGACGAAGTGGATGGAAGTGTGCTTGTTTGCAAGGGTTCGCAGCGTGAGGAAGAGTTTCTCTGAGACTTTTGTAGCTATTAGTCCATGTCCATTCTTCCCTATTGTGTCCAATTACAGCCTGAGGATGGGTACTCACAAGGGCATCCGCAAAACCTCAGGAACAGCAGTATAGTCGGCCGTCCGTCGGCTGTAGGGAATTGTAACTTTGGATGGCTTTGTGCCCGGTCTCCTATGTTTGGTGGCTTGCGCACTGGGTTCTGCGGTGGTGGAGGCGTCGTCCAGGACTGTAGGGCTTTTGGTACTCCCCACTGTACATTTGCGAATGGGTTGGCGAAACCCGTGTCTCCTCCCTCGGCGCCATTTGTGTTTCCCTTCTTCGTGTTGCCATTCCCAAACAAGCCATCGGTTTTTGGTAGCGATACACCGCCCAGTCCGGCTTTTCGGAGAGCTATCTTTGTCCCCAGAGAACTGAACATGTTTGCTGATGTCGTTCAGCGGTCGTAATTCGGATATATCGATCTGGAGCCGATCTAGATTTCCCGACGATCGTGTATAGGCTAGGCCAGATTATGCCAGATTATGCAAAGGGTGGTACAAGTATTAAATGACTTAGAAGAGAAGCAGACCGAAGACGCTGTGGAGTGAAAGAGATGTGCAGGAGAAGTCTCGGTTGTGCCGACATAGTGCTGATCATGTAGCCACGACGCGTCGCGGACCTTGCAGCTGAAACGAAGGGCGTGGCACGGACGGTTGGGGGAGGCTGAGCGAAACAAAGCGGCTACCAGATTTTCGAGATCTGGTGATACACCCAGCAGTTTACATCCTATGCGATTCGATACGGGAATGAGCAAGATGATAGTATTAACCATTATTACCAAGGTACGATGATGCCCAGAACAACACGCTGTCGCGTGTCAGGACGCTAATACCCAGATAGGTAGCGCGGGGTAGGGATTAACTCCATTGATCGGCTCGCACATTCAACTATCAATGTACGCGTACCAAATGCATCGCTATATAACTACAAGTCTAAAAGGCGGTATCATCGTAAGCGGTAGTGACAGCAACACGCGTCGGGTATCCTATCGTACAGACGCTCCAAATCTCCACCAACGCCATTTCCATCCCGCTAAACCCTCAGTACTATTACATTACACCGACTATCGTGCCACAAACCATGGCGCTCATCGTTTATATGCAAAGATTGTCCTGCACTCAAGCAAGGTCTGGCGCTTCACACACTCTTGGACGATCTCTTCGTCTTCCCACCACCACTGCGGTTCGTCTTGAGCGTCGTCTACGAAGCTACCCCATATGTCCTTCCAGAAGGCACGGCCGATGATCATGGAAAGCTCTTCGTTCACATTGGCGGTATCCGAGTCGATAGCGCACGGTAGCGTCATGCTCTGGTTGTCTTCCTGAACGAGCATGTCGAACCCGGCAGCTGCTAGCCAACCGGGGACTAGCGAGCATGGCTTCGAGCATCTAAAGTCTCGCTCCAAGTTGACGGAAAGTCTATCCTCGATCCACGTTCGCATCAGCGGGCCCGCGGTCTTGCGTACCGGGGCGGCATCCATGATCCTGATCTCTAGGAAACCACCGGTAGCGAGCAGCTTGTGACATTCACTGAATAGTTCTGGTAATGTCGCAGAGGGTACCAGCGATGGCAACGTCGATGCTCTTATATGCGAGAAGTAGTCTTCTGGGTAAGGCAGTGGCACAGTACCAAACTTGCGCACCGTCAAGTAGGATACATTGCCCGGTAACTGGACACGTCGCTGGGGTTTGGTAGTAAGGAAGTGCACTGTTTGGGACGGATGCATTGCCGACAGTTGGTATACCTCAGCTGACGTCGACCGTTAGAGCTTGCACAGCAGCGTAACGCAAGGGCACAACATGGACTTACAGAGATTGCCGTAGAGTTCAAGGATCCTCCCGGTGTTACATTCGGGCTTCGGCAGAGTCCGTTCCTGACCCAAGTTCTGCATTTGGAATCCTGTCAACAGCCACAATTGTTTCTCGAGGACCAACTGTTCTACCATTAGCAAAGGTCCGTGCAGAATTATAACGTCGACACGCACCTCCTCATCAACGTCTCCGCCCGTGCTCCATTGCCAGTCTTCCTTCAGTCGATCCAGGATGACCTTGGGACCGGCTCCCTCCATTCTGCGGATAAAGCGTGCGAAACGACCGAGGTCCGGTGTGGCATTCTGGGCGACTGCGGCCTTCTTAGGGGTTGGACGCGACTGCAACTGTATTTCCGAAGGTACCCCTCTAGGAGTGAGACATTGCCATTGTGAGAGAGGCTTGCAGGAGACTTCGGAATTTGCGCCACTGCTCAATTTTGAGACATGTTTAGCCTCTCCCCGTCCTTTGTCCTCCTGGAAGCTGTCATGTAGCTCAAGCGCTTCAATTTTGGCAATTGCTTCGGTCTCAGCTGGCTGTGGCCATCTATAGACATTAAGCATAAAACTGGCAAAGGCAGGATTACTACTCACCCACTATCGACCCTCTTTGCCGCAGGCATTGAAATTGCCGCAGCACTTCCATCCTCAGGGGTCTCCGAACTGGCACGAGTTCTGCTCGTAACAAAAGATCTGGGACTGACGCGGCTTGCTTGCGTTGCATCATCACTGCTGTCAACTACCGGCGGAGTTCTCACCGAGCGCTTTCGGTCATCTGGATTATGTCTTCAGCACATGATCATGGCACGCTGGTGCTTGATGACTTACGTGAGACGCGCGATCTCGTGGAGTCTGTCTTTCGAGAGGGCTTTCCACCTTCCAGCTCCGGTACTTCATCTTGTTGCGGATGCAGAGAATCACCAGATGGAAGTTTCGCAGGAATAGTACCAGTGTATGTCCAGCTAGGGTGCAGCGCTGGATCCTTGAGCTTGTGCGTGCGGGTCAAGTCCAACTCAGCCGGCACGGTCTTCGCCGTTCTCTGGGAATCTGTGGTTTGTCCTGTTGATGGTCGTAGTATCCTTGGCTTTATACTCTTTGCCTTCTTCAGGCCTGACGACCACCATTGCTCACGGTCGGTGGAACCAGAGTTTGCCGAACTAGTGGAAGTTCGTGAAGTGTTGATGGAGTTTGACCTGATGGATCGCTCTTTGGTCTTTCGTTCCCTCCGCGCTCCAACAGTCTCCGCCTCTTGATCCAGTGGTAAGTCGGTCGCGAACATGTTTGATCACTGTGGCGAGTCTAGCGGGGTGCAGCGGGGCCACTATAAGTCGATCTTTCAAGGGGTGGGAGCGAATGATCGCCTGAAGGCTATCAAGCACTCGAGGCTAGCCGCACCTTTGGACGGAAAAGTAGTCAGGTACCTGGGTGGGTGGTGTCGCAGCCGTAAAGCGAGTTACACAACGGTCCCATGTTTCCGCGGCATCGAAACGCTGTCGCACCACTCGGACCGTGGCGTTATTGACCTTTTAAGACTACTATCAGGGCTTCCCTAATCCGAACTCATGCGCTAGCGCTCTGCCGTGCTTGGATTCACGGCGCAACACCACTCCGCGCACCGTGAGCTTTCGGGTTCTCATACACACTGCTGGGGAAAGATACACCTACACGTGGTATGAGCGTGCAAAGCAACGCCTCTTCCATCCGGATCTTCCCCGAAAAAGCAAACACTCGGGTTGTACAGCAAGTGCGACTGGCTGGCTTATCGGGCTCTCTTTTCCAATTCTCGGTGTCTCCGCCCGAGGTCTTGCAGAACCGCTTGTGGCTGGCCACGATTCGCACATGCCAACATGACGGCTGCTAGGTTGAATAACCGATATGATGCCGCCAACCTTGACTTGCTCCCGCGGGCTACGAACTACAAACCCAATTGGACTGACGATCACAGCTGATCCGTTTGATCAGTGCTGTGGGAACAGAGAAGGACACCGGTACCATGGACAAAACAAGCTGCAGGGCCGCTGAACCAGCAGGGCGGCGTGAACTGTAAGCCATCTGCCCGTAGTTGCTGTCCGTGTCGTCAGAAGGAATCGGCAAGGGAGAGGCACAAGGTTCTACTAAAGCTTTTAGTCGCCCCGTCATTTTGCTGCACATGCGGGAGGGGCACCAGACATCATCCCTTTGGCCAGTCAAGATGCAGCTTGATCGACATCGGGCGTGCCTGACTAGCGTAAGCTAGGCTCCCCGGCCCCTGACTCGCTTCCGTCAAGCCACCAGAGTACGAGCCTAGACTGCCACACTCGAGCACGCTGCACGAGTCTCCGCTCCAGCTGCACGACAACGCTCCTGCCGCCGTTCAATTCACTTGTACCACGCTTGCGGCGGCCGTCTTAGGTTGTCATGCCGTCACTCCGTCCAAGAGCTTCTTAGGGCGTGCTTTTTACCCAGCCGCGTCCCATGCCTACCCTCGCCGTCGCCGCCCATCCCTTACGGCTGATATCACTTCGCCTCGAGTGTCTCTGATGTTTAGCACAGCTCGCCCTGTCGTTGATACTTTCTATTGCATTCCTGCAGGACCCTTTGCTTATGGCCCCACCTTAAGCGATCGCATTGGCGATTGATCAATACCATATACCTTTTCGTTCCGAATCGTTCATGTTTGCTTATACTGGACGTGCGTGACACAAATATAGTCGACGCAGGGCTACCTGTTGCAGATCACTGCATCTCTTATACTGAAGATTGAAACCCCCAACTGGTGGCCAACCTCACGTCTGCAACATGGAGTCCATACGTTCCTCAATCCATTCGTTCAACGTCAACGTCGGCCGGTCGACTTTCGGCAGGATATTTCGTCTCTCCGGCTGTGGGCATGTATGTTTGACGACAGTTGTAGTAATATCTTGGACATGACTGACTGTCTTCACAGAAAGATGAGATCCTGCATACGAAGTTCACCACCGAAGTGCGGGCAGGACTTACGTCCTTCTTCACAATGGCATACATCATCGCGGTCAATGTAAAGTTCTCGAAGCATTATGCCTCGCAATATACTAATAAGCTTAGGCTACTATACTCGCTGATACAGGCGGTAATTGCGTGTGCAATGATGCCACAGACCCTCTGTGCTTGACGAACACGGAATACCTCATTTGCAAGCAGGGTAGGAAACATCCATACTCTCAACAACTTCAGCTGATCCGAGCTCAGATTTGAACCGCAACCTTATCACTGCCACAGCGGCCGTAGCTGGCTTCAGCTCTTTCCTCTTTGGATTCTTCACCAACATGCCCGTGTGTCTTGCACCCGGTATGGGCCTCAACGCATACTTCGCCTACCAGATCGTCGGCTTCCATGGCCAAGGTCTCATTTCCTACAACCTTGCGCTCACTGCCGTCTTTGCAGAGGGCTTCATATTCATCTTCTTGTCATTGATCGGCATGCGACAATGGCTCGTCAAGATCATACCAGTATCGCTCAAGATCGCCGCGGCATGTGGTATAGGACTCTTTCTTGCAGAAGTCGGACTGAGCAACAACGCGGGCATTGGTGCCATTGCGGGCTCAAAGAGCACCCCACTTGATATCGCGGGGTGTCCTGATCAATACAAGGATGAGTTTGGCTCATGCACAAGTCACAAGATGACTTCACCTACTGTAGGTCATATGATGCCGGCTCGTCAAACATTGCTAATAGGTTTGGCAGATGTGGCTAGGCATCCTTGGTGGTGGTATCTTGACAGCCTACTTGATGACATACAAGGTCAAGAGCGCCATGATTCTAGCTATCCTGCTTGTATCAATCATTTCATGGCCGTGAGTTGCTATCAGCTATTTCAGTCAAGCGCAGTCGACTAACATGTTTACAGACGAGGCACCTCGGTCACTTTCTTCCCCTACACTGAGGTCGGCGATAACCGATTCGAATTCTTCAAGAAGGTCGTCGACTTCCATCCCATCAACCGCACACTGAATGCCCTTGACTGGAACGTCAACGCAGCGCCTGGCCATTTCGCACTCGCTCTTTTCACTTTCTTATATGTTGACATTATCGACTGCACAGCTACGCTCTATTCCATGGCACGTTTCTCTGGAGTGGTGGACGCAGAGACTGGAGACTTTCCGCGATCAACGATAGCCTATTGCACAGACGCTTTCTGCATCTCCATGGGTGCACTTCTCGGCTGTTCACCCGTCACAGCCTTTATCGAGAGTGGAGCAGGAATTGCAGAGGGCGGGAAAACAGGACTGACTGCCATGACCTGTGGCCTGTGCTTCCTCATTTCCATGTTCTTCGCACCCATCTTCGCTTCAATCCCGCCATGGGCTACTGGAAGCACTTTGGTTCTCGTAAGTCACCTGGTACCACCTCCAAGATGCTAGCGTTAACGCAAATATAGGTCGGTTGCCTGATGATGCGACAAATTTCCTCCATCAACTGGCGATACATCGGCGACGCCGTTCCAGCCTTCGTAACCGTAATGTTCATCCCATTCGGATACAGCGCAGCTTACGGTCTTATTGCGGGCTTGATGGTGTACACGGCGCTCAACGGCATGATCTATTTGACAAAGCTTATATCGGGCGGATACATTGTTCCCGATGACGAAGATCATCGTGAATACTGGACTAGTAAGTTTCATCGCATCCTGCATGCCATCTCGCCGCACTTTCCCATTATCAGATACCAGCCGCTAACCGAAGAACCCAGTCAAACCCGCCGGCAGACTCCCCTGGTTCATCTCCGCATCTCAGAACCTTGCAGATCGCGTGCGGGGAAACGACAGGAGACAAAAGTCCCCTGATGCGCTCTCCATCCGAAGCACGGAGTCGGAGTGGAAGTACCACGATCGCATTGGCTCGAACGGATCGAATCGCGAGCTCGACTCCGTCGTCATACAAGCCTTGCCCACTGATCCTCGCCGAGAGAAGGTTTTCAGGTCCATGGGGAGATGACGGCGACTGTGATTGGCAGGGGAAATATTTTGTTGATTTAAAGTTTCGCGCTTGTGAAATGAAATACCACGAGTCATTTAACATTGCGTTCGAGCTATTGTTGTCTGCCCATGCCGTTAGTTCGATATCATGGCATTTGATCTCCTTGACAACTGACAAAATCCACATTGAGCACTGGTTCGAGGTCGATGCATCCTGCACGTATGGGGGTGGTATCAACTTTGGCTCACGATCTCTGGGCCGGGTCAACGCCTTCGCTCAACTTTTGGTTCGGGTCCGCGGCATTGATACTAGTCCAACCTTGCTCCAACCCTCCAACTTTCTCTCCCCAACCTCACACCAGGCGACAAGAAGCAAGAAAGCAGCACTTTTCCAGCCAGGGAAACTCAGCGAGACACTAAGCAGTCTCTCTGAGATCGTCTCGCTGCTTTCTTGCTTTTTTACTTCTAGCCGTACCTGCCACGAAATCGAGATCTACAAACTCTAAGGTTGGCGCACCGCCTTCTGGGCCTTCCGAGCCGCAGATTCGCAAGCTGCACGGCTGGGGTGCAGATCGCTGCCCGGTCAGAAGGGCCATGCGGCGGCACTTGACGCGTAAGTAGGAGCACTACCGGTTGTCTAACAACAGTCCGCAACCGAGCGTGCATTGTGCGGTCATCGAATGTGTAGACGCGCCTTTATCGATAGCATCCCAAAAGCAAGTCCATGCCGACAATTCTGCCCATCTCTATAACGCCTCTCGTGTCTCTGAAGAAAACGAATTGTAGCTCACCCTTTCTCAGAATAGCACAGACGTGTTTGACTCGCATCAACGTTGATGCTCTGGACTTTGGTACGGGTATGCGGCATCAGTACCCAGCGCAACGACAGAGATCACATTTCTTTTTATAAGGCTGAAAAAGACAGTGTATGACATCTCGGCAAGTAAGCATAAGCCTGCCTCGCTTCCAACCATCGTCGTCCTCCCAAAGTGGAACTTCTCCACACCCATCACAGAAGCCCGACCTAATCCTAGAGAGTGTATAGCGACCTCTCCTCGTACCCACTCTCGCTTCCACAACACCAATTCGCGTCTGCACGTCTTTCTTTTCCCTTATCTCAACTCAACACAGCATGCCACCATCGGCCTGCCACACAGAGCCAGTAACGTAGCTCGCGTCGCTGCTAAGCAGGAACTGGATTATTTTCGCTATCTCAATAGGGTCGGCGCGTCGGCCGAGCACGGCGTTGTTCGGGAGTTGGAATCCAAGTTCAGTATCGAGGGCGTCCATGAGGGGTGTGTTGACAAAGCCTCTAAAGTAGTGTCAGCGTCAGCGACCGGCTCTCCTCCAGTGGCACCAATGCGCGCGCAAACGACCTTAGAGAACACGGAGAGAATTCCATTGAGTGGTGGAAAGAAGAACTTACGGTGCGATGGCGTTAATGCGGATTCCAGTCCGCTCCTGCTCCCTTGCAGCAGCTTTTGTGAGCCCAACGACGGCATGCTTCGAGGCGCAATAGACTGAGCAGTTTTGCTTGCCGACAAGCCCAGTTATCGACGCCGCGTTCACGATCGATCCACCTGGCACACCTGGACTTGCGACGCGCATGTTGCGCAGCTCGGCTGACATGCAGTTGAATGTGCCTTGGACGTTGACTGCGAAGACGGCCTCGTAGTCGGCGGTGTCGAAATTTGCAGCAGTTTCGAGGCGACCTGAGATACCTGCGAGGTTCACTGCGCCTGCATTATGCTCGTGTCAGTCAAGGCACTCATGCAGACGTCTAATTCCGCAAGCACATTCATGCCTTGAAGACAGGACGTTGGCATACCATCGATTTGCTTCAACCCAAACCTCGTCGGCGCATGCGCCAGCCAATGCTCTACCTCTTCCCTAACTGTAACGTCCACTTTCGCCCATATCGCACTCGCCCCAAGCTCTTTCGCAAGCTGCGACACTGCTTCTTCGTTCTTGTCCCCGAGGGCGACCTTTGCGCCGCTTGCAACCAGCAGTGTAGCCGTCGCACGTCCGATACCTGACCCAGCCCCGGAAATAGCAAAGAGCTGCCCCTTGATACTATAGGAGGGTCCGGACTGCTTCTGGTTCAGCTCTTTCTCTTCGCCTGGCATGTTGCGATCAGATGATGATGATGATCGTTTGCAATTGAGAGTGCGACTGGGAAGGCGATAGGAATGTGCGCGGTTGCGAGGCTGGAGAAGAGGCTGGGACGACGATATCGTAGCGGGTTCTGTCTGTAGGTATAGCTGTTGATTGGAAACGTGCGAGATGATGTGATGACCTTGGCGATAGGTATATCTGTTGACGTTCGTCGGCGTCTATTGACGCACGAGAAGCTGTGAAGTGTGGTGGGATGCTCGGCAGCATTTGCGCCTTCAAGTGCCTGGATATGTATGGGCAGGCGCCATGCGGTATGTTGCAGCACGACATCCTGTGTCGAGCGGCGGTGACGATGCATACTCTTATGCACTGCAAGTGTGGTGGGCTCAAGGCTTGATTGGGCAGTCTCATGCAGGTCGAGAACTCCAGCCGCCGTGCTATACCGTTGAATGGGTTGTGTGAGAGCCTCGACAAGTAGGAATCAAGAGCACGTTCGTGCCGGTTGTCACGATGCGACTTGGCTGTCATATCATGGCTGTCTCACGTAAGCCAAAAAGCTCCTTGTAGGGCTTACAACTCCATTCAAGGAAAGAACTGAACAGGTGCGTTGCCGTCTACGTCAGTATGCATGCCGATATTTAAGAGGATCTAAAACAATGTAAACTTCTAAGAGGTTAATGCTCGGTTTCTCTCTTGTGTGAGGTGACAACAGCATCTTAAGGCTTCCTGAGTCACTCTTCCACCATTCGTGCCAGATTCCGCAACCTCTGACATTGAGTACGATAATTTTTGGCATTTCTTCCGCATACGACCACAGGCCAAGGATAAACACTGGATCCCGTTCGCTCTCCACACGTTAAGCCTTTGACCGGCGAACTAGTAGTCAGGTGGGTGACCACTGGCGAATAATCGCTGTTGTATGTTTTTTGACGTTTTATTCGTGATCCCTCAATCAACATGCATCCTTTATAGAAAGGAAATGTGGCATCATTAGTACGCAAAAACGATGTTCTTCGACTGCCAGGTGATGGTTGGAGTGCTAGATCGTTGTGGGTACGAGAGCGGGTTGCCAACAATACCAAGGGATGGAAATAAGACGAGACCCAAGCGTGATCAAAATACCATTGCTCTGAATTTGTACCCCAAATGCTATGCATACCCTTCTCCTTCTATCCATCTTCCAACCTAAACCCCAACACTCGCACACCAAAACTCCGCCACACAAACCGTCGTCTCACCACTCCCACCCACAACCCCACCCCCAAAACGGAACGTACTCGTCCCATCTCTAAAGCACACAAACTCCTCTTTTGTTCCCCCATTCCCAGCCAACGTTGCCGACCCAGCTAGTTCGCTCTTCGCAAACGTATCAGCACTCTGGCTGATCTTCGATTCAAAGACTCCAGATTCAAGGTCTACGCGTCGCGTGAAGCCGGCCCATTGGATAGCGCGCGAGGAGGAGACGGTGCCGATGTCGGTGGGGGAGGTGCTGGAGGCGGGGCCAGAGTAGAGGATGGCGGAGGAGAGGGTGGAGTCTGAGAGGAGGGAGCGGGTTGTGCAGGTGCTGAGGTAGATGTTATGGGGTGTGCCGATGGGGGTGCTGGTCGTGATGGTGAGGAGGGAGGATAAAGCGATGAGGAGCGGGGTGGGAAGATGCATTGTGAGTGAGGTTTGTTGGAGTGAACAGTAGGGTGAAGTGGAAGTAGAGCAACACCGCACAGTACGGTTACTACGAACAAAAGTAGGATAGATACCCTTCAGGCCAGTCGAATAAACAGGGCATCTGCAAGACAGGGCCTGTAGTATATACTCCACCTCATTCTCACACCTACCTCATAGTCTCGGATACCCTTTTGCTCCCTCGTATAACCATATCCCCAAAGATAGAACTCTACCAATGCGTTTTCATCTATGCTTCATATAGAGCCTCGTATTGTAACCGGGAGACGGGTAGAAGAGGCTCAACAAGTATGTATTTAGCCTACCGATCCAGCACTATACGTTGCATGCGACATGCGAGGTTGTATACAGGCAATACCAACTGCATGGTAAGCCACCCCTGCTGCGTCAACGACCGGCTGCGAGTTTCGGCAAGCGACCGGCGGTCCGGAGCGAAGGGATGGGTCGACCGATTGCACATTTTGTAGTCGTGATAGATGAGCCTAGTTTGAAGGCCGCATAGTCGTAGTTGTGGGAAGTGTAGAACGAGACGTTTGGTGAAAACTTGATAATCGTGTGGCATTACAAAAACATCCACACGCCGATGCATGACAGCTAGTCCAGTAAGCCCGCAGCAAGCGCCTCCATATCCTCCAGCGTCTCCGGCTCCTCCACTCTATGCGCCGCCTTGGCCTTCTTCTTCCTCCTCTTCTCAGTCTTCTCCTCATCCTCAGAATCAGACTGGAACCACTTCTTCTGCTTCTTTGGCTGCTCTTCTTGTTCTTCGTCTTCCTCGTCACTGTATTCTGCATCCGCCCTGAAGTTTGCCAAAAGGTCCTCACCAGGATCAGGAAGCTCGACTCCCGCATCGTCACTATCGTCATCAGCTTCGCCAGCCAACTTGGCCCTCTCTTTTTCTTTGCGTTTGAGCAACTTCTCCTTCCTCTTCGCCTTCGCAGTCGCTTTGTCCTCGACATCGGCGGCCTGGACGACTTCTCGTGTTGCTTCGATGAACTTCTGGCGTTGCTCTTCTGGTAGACCCTTGGCGCGCCACTGCTCTTCGTCTTCGAGTTCGTAGATTTCGTGCGGGTTGCCGTCGTCGTCGTAAACAAGCTTCTTTCCCTTGTCCATGAGTTTTGTAAGCTTCTTCTTGGACTGAAGAAGTTTCTCGCGGCGGTTGCTGTCGACAACGATGGGCTGGGATGCACCAGCAATGTGAACAAGGCGACCACCTGGTGGAACCTCGGGAGCCTTCTCCGCGTCAGTATCGTCGGCATCATCGTCCGCTGGAATTCGTCGTTTGACGGCCATGAAGTCGTCGTCGGCTGCGTTGTTGGTCGCTCCAACACCACTGAATGCGTCTGCTGGGGTTTCTTCATCTCCATCCCTGACCAGTTTCCGATAATGTTCTCCCAAAACATCCTGGTTCTTGCGCTCGAACATGCGGTCATACTTGGTTCGCACAGGTTTGTCTGCCTTGGGAGTCTCTTCAGCATCCGAAGAATCCGAAACTTCGATCATTTGTCTTGATGCTTGCTTCTTCTGTCTGCTGTTGTCATCCTTCAAGAACTTGATCTTTGGCGCTCCTGGCAGACCCAAGCTAGCGGCGTATGCTTCCAGATTGTAGTCTTTGAGCTTGAAGACTTCCTTGTCTTTCTGTAGATATATCGACTTGACGTGCGTCATGAAGGCCTTTTGGCCAAGGTACTTCAGAGCTGGATCCTGGAAGCACATGTTCTGTAGCTGGTCCTTGATTGACTGACGCTTCTTCTGGCGCACGTTGATCATCTCGACGGGCACCCTCTTGGCCTCCAGACGCTTCAGCATACCCTCCTCTTCGCTCGGTGCTAAAAATAGCACTCCTCGTCCCTCTCGATTGTATCGTGCTGTTCGACCGACGCGGTGGATGTAGGTATCAACGTCGTCGGGGCAGTCGACCTGTATTACAAAATCGACTGCTGGGAAATCCAGTCCTCGGGCTGCGACGTCTGTAGCAAACAGGCAGGAATGCTTCGCCGCGGAGAATTTTGCCGTTGTGTCAAGTCGAGCTCCCTGCTTTTGACGACCGTGAATGTGGAGCAGCGGTATACCAGGCTGCATATGACGGAAAGACTCGTAGACAAATCGGACAGTCTTTGCAGATGAAAAGAAGCAGAGAATCTTCGACTTCTTGCTCGCTTGTATGAAACTCCAGAGGGTGTCCAGCTTCTCTTCGATGGGGCAGACGATGTAGTTTTGCGTAAGGCCCTTTGGAGTTGCGCTCTTGTCTTCGGCGTGTACAGATACGTATTCGGGGTCTTGGAGGCTCAAGCGCGCAAGGTCGGACACCTTCTTTGATTGGGTAGCCGAGAAGAGCAGCGTCTGTCTGTCCTTGGGAAGGTATTCGACAATTGCGTCCACGTCGCGCTGGAAGCCCATGTCAAGGATCCGATCCGCCTCGTCCAGCACCAACATCTTCAGGTCGTCCACACTAAAGGCAGCTGTTTGCGACAAGTGCTGCAACATGCGACCGGGTGTTGCGACGACTATGTTCATCTTGGTCAGAGCCTCCCTCTCATCCTGCAAGCTCTTTCCTCCAATGAGCAGACCCGCCGCAAACATATGTCCATGCCGGCCGATCTTGCGCAGGACATCGAATATCTGGATCGCGAGTTCTCGAGTTGGAGATAAGATCAAGGCGCCCAAGCCGGCGTCGGGGCCAATGTGCTGCAAGCGGTACAGGTTCTCTAGGACGGGGATGATGAAGGAGAGTGTCTTTCCGCTACCCGTCTTTGCAGCACCGAGGATGTCGTGTCCCTGTAGAGCTAAGGGTATGGCTTTGGCTTGGACGTCGGTCATAACGGCGAAATGCGACGACTTGAGGCCTTGCTTGGTCGGGTCGGAGAGCGGGAGGTCGGTGAAGTCTTTGTAGTTGCCATGTTTGGGGTCCTGCATATAGAGTCAGCTCATTGCGCTCCATGTCCCATGTATGCCTGCGCGTTCATACCAGTTGCTGGACGGCCTGCTCCAGCTTCTCCACATCCACATCATCGCGCTTCCTCTTCTGGAGATTCTCCCTCTTCTTGGGCTTGAAAGGCCGCGTGCGACCAGTGATTCCAGATGCGACCATGTCGGCGCGATATCGAGTCTTCGGCTTGCTTCGGTGTTGATGTAGACTGGCGCATCGCGAGAGAACTTTTTGGTGGAGAACTTTCGGCCTCGCTGGGTCCGTGCGCTTCGCCGCGGGGATTCACGCATTCACGCGCCATCGGATCGCGAGCTGCTACTTTCACTTTCACTCTCACCAACGCCACCGGACAGGGCTTAGTGCGACGTGCAGAACGTCTTGTTCTTTTTCCGACCTCCAATCGACTATACACCACATCATCTACGCTCGACTCCAAACAACACGTCTACATTTCACCATGGCGGACGAGGATATCGATGCCCAGCTCGCAGGTCTCGGCAAGGAACTTGACAAGGACGCTGAGATAGACCGTAAGTCGAAACCTATGCTCATTTCTTACTATGCAGCGACTTGAACTAACAAATCCAGGCATCCGCAGCGTCTTCAGTCTCGACGCCTACGCCGTCCTCGGCCTGCAACCCGGTGTCCCCGAATCCGACATCAAGAAAGTCTACCGCGCCAAATCCCTCCTCATCCATCCCGACAAGACCAAGAACGAGCTCGCCCCCGATGCCTTCGACCGCCTCAAGAAAGCCCAGACCGTCCTCCTCGACGAGAAGCTGCGCGCCGAACTGGACGAGAACATTGCCGATGCGCGCATGCTGCTCATGCGGGAGAAGAAGCTCACAGCCGACGATGAAGAGACACGTGGTGAGGAGTTTGCAAAAGAGTGGAGGCAAAAGGTCATCTGGGTGATTCGAGACAACGAAATGAGGAAGCAGAGGCAACAGAAGGCTGCGATGAGAGAAGAGGGACGTGCACAGAGGAAGGAAGATGAGGAGATCAAGGAGCGCAAGAGGAAAAGGGAGCAAGACGAAGCATGGGAGAAGACCAGGGATACGCGCATCAACAGCTGGAGGGAGTTTGCACAGGGAAAGAAACCAGAGGCCGCTGATGGTACAAAGAAGAAGAAGAAGGTCAAGGCTCTGGGATGAGCGTCTCCAGTGCCTCTCCCGTATCCGGCATTCTAGAGTCGCTGTCCCAGAGGCGGTAGCGATTACAGATGCCCAGAGTCCAGCGCTCTGCTGCATGCGCCCGGTTATCTCGAAGGTCAGCAGCCGGCAACCTTCACCCATACTTTCATAACCAAGATACCCATTTGTTCTTACCACTGCATACACAATAAACACCCTGCACTATTCACCTCAATCTGCGCACGTCATGTTGAATGAATCTCGCCCCCAACGTCCTCATCTCGGCTGCCACCCTATCTCGCATTCCGCCTCGCCTGGTAGGTTGGAATGCGCGAACAGCGTGTTCGTCGCCAGCATTAAGGTTTCGCCAAACTGCAGTAGCTGTTTCACATATCGAGACTTATAGCACTACAAGCGCCACGGGCCGTGGATCTACATGCTCTGGACAACCTCATTTCACATTGCACTTTGATCGGATACTCTGGACAAGGAGAATAGGGTGGAGGAAGGACTCAAAGATCCCGTTTCTTCTTCTCATATCCATATTCTTAACAAACAACCATGAACTTCACAATAGCCAGCAGGTTCTGCGCTATACATATCCAAGTTCCATCCCATCCTCTGCAACATTCAAGAAACCAAATGCGGGTATATCCTCCACATGGCCTAGCAGCCAATACTTTCCCAACCGAAAAACCCCCACTCCACCCATAACTATAACTATCTTTAGAGCTTGTAGCCAAACTGCTTTCGCTCGTAATGCGTGGTATATACAGATTCACATATATACTTCCGGACTTGTATCCGGGCCTCTCTTGTCGAAAGAGAGTGTGGTACCGAGGTGGATGGTGATGAGGTGGACCAAGAATAGAAATGTAGTTTGAACCATACGCGACTGTTGTTGTCCTTGTAATCTGCCGTGGTGTTTGTCGTCGGTTGAGAGTTCCGACTTGTGCGTATAGATATAGTGGTGGTCTGGCGGCTGACGTGTTGCTCTGTCTTCCGCTCCTTCTGGTCTTTCACGCGAATCCATGTCTTGCCCTCGGGCCCAAATTGGCCCCCATCGCTACTCCGCCGCCCAATAGGAAACGACAAGCAATCCCACTACTCTCACTCACGGACATACAGCTCGCGCGTAAGCGTATTTACTATACAAATGAGGCGGGAAAGCGACTCAGAACCCAGCCCCGGGTTGACGATGAAACACCAACGCGAGGGCACGGATCAACAGTGGTACAAGCCGTGAACGCACCGTACGACGAGTTCTTCGATAAGAACCGCAAGGACCCGCCCACAAAAGCAACTCTTACGAAGGGAGAAGACGAGAACATGCACAACAACGCTGTCAGGACCAAACGAGGTTTCCAAGCCACCCATCGCCGTAGCGACGAGGAATATGCAACGTAATCGGAACTGAAGCAGAAGCCAAGGCCAAACGGTAACGTAACGCACGTCAAGCAATGCTAATCGCGACGAAGACAAGAGCAGCGATATCGATCGAAAGAGCAGGATGACGAGCGCGCTGTCATATGCAAGAGACGACAAATGGACAAAATCCCAAGATATGGCTTGTTACGACAAAACATCGCAGAAGAAAAAGACAAGAGTGGGTAACTAACGCCTAAAGATGCAAGACAGCAAACAACGACTACCGCAGGCAAATGCAACTCAAGAAGCGATGAAGACGACGAGATATCGTGAGGAAAGCAATTGTTGTATCAGGTCCCATGTCGTTCGTCCCGTCAGTGTGCAACATGCGCCATTCCCGCTCCGTTCGCAAAGCGCCGAGTTTCAGTTTCAGTCGGACAAGGGAACCCGACTGTCGGTACCCTTCGAACTTCTACCGCCAGCCACGAGCCAGCCAACCTGGTGGAACACACATGATCCCTTCTTCTCGCGCGAACCGCAATGACCCCGCTGCACGTCCCCAGTTCAATCTTTCTCACACCAGCCGACTCGTCTCAGGAACGGGAACGCATTGCAACGTCAATCAACCGACCTCCTCCTGGCTTTGACGACTTGACTTGTCTGGTCTAGTCGAGCACCTCATGTATATTCAACCGCCGCCGCTTGCCCATGTCAGGCGACTCGGGCCTTCGCTGCTCGGCGCTACTGGACGGTGAGTCGTGCGGTCGCACACGCTCGCGTTCGCGTTCCGCAGCGCTTGTTTCGACGTGGAGTGGGGAACCAAGCGGCGCGGGACCTGTCCGAATGGGCGGCAGATGGAGGCCTTCGAGACGAGGAGGCCGGTTGAGCTCGCGGAGAGGTTCGGATGTTGCTGCTGGGGGGCGCGCTGGTTGTGCGTAGGGCGAGGGGTATGCGCTGCTGGTGGGTTGTGGCGGGACTTGGTATGTCGAGAAGTAGCCTGATTCTGGACCTGCGGTGGGAGAGTAGCCGTACGAGGGGCTGCTCTTGTAAGAGCTTGGACTGAATGTGGGGAGGGACGTGCGGATGGAAGAGATGTTGATGAAGGGCGAGTTTGGTCCAGAGCTTGTCGTTGAAGCTCGACGCTCTTGATGCGGCGTGAATTGCGAGACTGCTGTCGGTGCAGACATGGTCTGAGAGGTATGTCGCGATGCTGATGGCGCTAACTGCTGCGTTAGAAGAGTCGGTCCTGCGTGGCGCGGTGGTGAGCACACGACGAGCGTTACGAAGTACAGAGACGTCCTGGCAAGCCGGATCTGGACCGACAGCGACTGGTACTGTCCACTCGTCGGCAGACGAAAGCTGAGGTACATGGGCCGGTTCGTGTACCCCTGGGTAACATGGTCAATGTCCTGATCTACGATCGAGTCCATCACCGCGCGCATGGGATCTTGTCCGACCGGGGTGATGGGCGCCATGTACGTCGGCTCACGTTCATCACGCTCATCGCGCAAGTCGTTTCGCAGCTTCTGCATGCTCTCGTTCTGCCGCGCTTCCAGAAGCTCGCCAAGATGCTTGCCCCTGATGTCTCCGAGGAACGATACGAGGTCCGCGAAAGCCTGGTTTGCTTTTTGTATCACCAAGTCCAAATTTAGGTAAACGACAGGCAGCTTTTGGTACGCCAAATTCGGTCCCACACCGTAGGGAGGTGCCTGCACTCCGCTGTAGTCACCCACGCTGTTGGGGGCGTCCCGGGGCGCAGACGCAGCTGAATGGAGCTCCTTCTGGTGCGCAGTACTCTCCAGACTTCGTTGAGGTTCGAAGGATCGATATTGCTGAGATACTGGATAAGGCGCTTGATGAGCGTGAGGTTCGGAGGTAGGTGGCGCTCCTATGAGCTGGCTAGGTGGTCTTCCGTCGTCGGATCTAGTGAACTCTCTGTCGTCTCTCAATCGTGGCCTTCCTCTCTTTTTGTGCTGCACATCTTTGCATGTGTCCTGTTTGATGCGTTAGATCACTCGCCAGAGTTTGACTTCGCGCCGCAAAAACTAACCTGCTTTCCAGAAGCGACGCAACGGCCACATGGGCGTTGGACGTCGCAGCTGAGATGTGCCTTCTTGCAATTAACACAAGCTGACGCAACGTGCGCTTTCGTGCGTCTGGCTGGCTTCGTCGGTCTTGACGGTGGTGGTGCAATCATTGCGCCTTGCTGCACCATCGGGCCTCCATGCTGGACTCCAGCATAAGGGGGCAGGCCGGCGTTCTGATAGCCATAACCGTAGTTATGCGGCATGGCATGAGGGTAAGATTGGTGCTCGTGAGCACGTCCGGGTTGGTAATGGAGTCCTTGACCCCTGTGCTGGGGTTCTCCGGGATAAAGTGGCCGCTGTAGGGGAAGAGCATGCGCTCCCGACGTAGACCGCGGATCGTACAACGATGGTAGAGTCGGCGGTTGAGTCAGGCTATCCTGTCTCTGAGATGATCCCGGGGGAGGATAAGAGAGGCGCGCAGATTCAAGCTGTGCTGTTCGACGAGACGGGGAATGAGATTCTGACATGGGCGGAGACGGGTAGCCCTGGTGCTCAGCCCTGTTAGGACTGAACTTCGACCGGAACTTGGCAAGGCCGTCTTCAGGTTCTGAAGGCCGCCCGAATGGCGTGGTAAGGAGTGAGGTCGGACCAGGTAAAGCCAGGCTCTGCATAGTTTGACCACCACACGCTCAAACGCCGCGTCAGCAGCAGGAGCACAATAATTAGAGGTAACGCCGGAGCGAACAAGTGGGCTGTCTCTCACGATGCCCTTGGATTTGCGAAGTAAGAGTGCACGGTAGGGAGATGTTGGTGTGACAGTATAATGAGGCCTGCATGGCGTCCAAGGTAAGCTAGTGCACAAGCGAGGAGGAGATCAAGACAATGACCAGAGGCAGGGCATTCCCTTATGGTTGGACGGTCGCCGAATCGATAAATGCTCATGTCCAAACAAGTTTCAATACAGGGTGGCGGCATTGTGGGCCATGAAGAGTTTGAAGGAAGACACGGGCTGAGAGGCAAAAGAGAGTACATGGAAATACCTTTTGATAGTGGGCGAATGAGGTCGGCAACAGCGGTGTCTCTGGTTAATTCGGCGTCAGAAAGGAGACGGTGTCGGACCAGCGTCGGCCTTGTCGAGACGGCAGCGGCAGGCAATGGGGCGGCGAGAAAGAGAAGCGGCGAGGTGGTGGTGTTGTATGGGGTGGGACCAATGAGGGATTGGGATGGCGACTCGTCGTGGACCAGAACAGAAGTCGACTCGGCGGACATTCCCCAGTAATAACCACAATCGGTTATGGAGATTCTACTCACAGATCTTTGCTACATCCCTGCAAACTCGTGCAGGCGGGCCATCCAGGAGAAGGGGGCCACGATGGGTTCCGGGCAACGGGAGCAGGGAAGGGTACGTCTCGGGGACTGCTACATGCTTCCCTCGTTCGGCTGATGGTTCTTCGACATTTCTGCTAGGCCGGTTTTCCCAGTCGGTCGATGCACCCGCGGAATCACATATGCACGGCCGCCAGCTGTCTGCGTGCATGGGCGGTGCGGGTTGGGGAGCCTTGTCAGAGGCCGCTCTCAACCCCCTGTCTTCCGCACCGTCCTCGAACCGGGGTGTGCTAACGAGATATGGTCGCGCTTCTGCGCGCTATTGCACCATTGTTTTGCAGCCGCCCAGGCAAACTTTCAATTGAAGCATAGCATAAGTCGGCGCCCTTAATCCTCGGCGTGCGCTTATGTGCGACCCAGTAATTGCCTTTTTGGCAGCTTCCGGCAGCCACAGCGCCGACGAGAGGAGAATTGACGGGCAGCTAGAGACCCTACAGGAAGGCAGTTATATTCACCCACGCGAGCCCTGCCACCAGCCGCCGTGAGGTGAGCATGGCGACAGGTGTGGCTCCCACTGACAGGCCCGCGGTTGTGGTGCACTATCAAGACGCTTGTCACTGTCAGTCGCGCTTCCGGACCCTTCAGACCAGCCACTTGCATTGATCGCCTCGCAGGCCATTTCGCACCGACCGACGGTCGCAGCGGAACATCTCGCCTCGTAGCGGCTGCGCTGCATGGACTGCCGGGGAAAGCTTGCTCAGGGTCTTGCTGTCGCGAGCTGCAAAAGCACCACTGCGCGCTGATGACGCACTCTGCTGGCGCAAACTCTATCGCGACTAACAAAAAATTGGTTACACATCCGATGCCACGATCGACACTCGGATATGGCTGACAGGGCCACGCCTCTGTGTGGAGTTTCCCGTCGGTGCATTGAAAGAAGTCGCTCCTTTCCCCAAAAGCAAATCGTCATATTCCCCTTCGCGCAAGCCCGTCACCCTGCGCGCACTACCAGGTGTACCAACCATCAGCGCTGTGGAGTGTCCTGCTTCGTCATGCGACACGCTACGTCTAGTGGCATGGCGCTGGCGCTGTAAGCTTGTATGGCGCGGGTGATTGATCTGGCAGATGCAATGTGCTCTGGTTCAGAACGTGCAAGCGACGGTAAGCTGCATCTGTGGCACCTGGTCCCCGTAGTAGCTGCTGGATAGTCTTCTGTACAGTCTCTGGAGTATGTAGAGGTCGGGATGTGGCGCACACGCTTGGTACCTCCTTCTGCATGCCCAGCGCCGCGTGCATGAGAGGTCAAACAGCGGACTCGGTGCATTTGAGACGATCCTCTCGACCTGCAGAACATGGCCGGGCGGTCCAGTGTTCCAGCCGCCCGAGGTGGTGTGCCTCGACGTGGCGTCGAGTGCTGGGAGCAAAGCGTACACATAGTGCCCATGGTCAGACTAAGCCAGCGGTATATCATGCATCCATTATAGGCGTGGGCCGTGTCGCATTGGGATAGCACTCGTAAAATACTCCGGTGGGTATATCGATCGAACGCTGGCGCTGTTGACGATCTGCCCGTAAACTGCCCGAGCCACGACGGCATGACCACCGATATTGCTCGTCTTAATGGAGTGTGCGCAGCATTGACGATGCGGGGCCGAAGCCTGGGTTGGCGGTAGCACGCACATTGCACTGGCAGAGTACTCGCAGCTAGCCAAGCATGTGATGACAAGTCGACGATGCTGGCAAGATGAGGCCTTCCATGCTGCCGCCGCCAGGTGTGTGAGCAACGGCACCAGCGTTAGTGTGCCGACTACCCCATGACAGCTACCCAACCGCTCTTTCGCATGTAGAAGGTGGAACGGCGACTGCGGCAGGGCAAACTTGTGATGCTGCACCACGGACGAAGGCCATATTCACCGGTAATGCTTGACCCCAACGCGGAATAGCGGTAAGCTGAGCCGACTGCCGTGAAGATCGATGCCGCGTCTAGGGCAGAGATGGGTGTGTATACCTCGACACTAGCTGGGAATAGCGCATCCTGGCAGCAGCATTGTATACTCGTCCTCCCTAACCCTCATCATCTTAATTTGTAATTGTCTAATGGCTTCAATACTTGCGATCTGCAGCCACAAGGCATTGCACATGTCCCATCACCTGAGAAGTGCAGGAACGCAACGTGCGAGCCAGTGAACCTTGTCCGCACATGTTCACTCTGCTCTCTGCGGCCTGAACCGAGATCACGACGCAGGGGGCATGACTCGAGGCCGGGTCCTGCATGAGCGTTTCTTCTTCCTCCGTCGGGGCAGGTCATCCGGATCGTACAATGACTAGCCACTACGGCCGAGAAAAAGAGAATTTCCATCCTGTCCAAAAGTACAAAATGTGTCCGATCTGCCCAGCTTTCAAGTGGGTCGTGATTGGCCCCCAGTGCGGAAAATATAAATCCAACCGACAAGGCAACGCGAGAAAGCCCAGGACTAGACCTTGCATTTAGCCTCGTCGAGGACTGCTGAGGTCCAAAAATAATCACAGATAGCGGATATTTCGACGTTAACAGCAGGTCTTATATCGCCTGCAGATTGCTCTCATCTCTCATTACGGTTCCCCGAAGCTACGGCATGCGCATAACGGCCTGTCCAGGGTCCCGGGATTTCTGTCCTTTCCCGGCGGGCCCTGCCGTTTCGTTGATTCAGGTGCAGGTGTCTGTTGAGGTCCGTTTGATGCCAACCCCTGATGCGATCATCTGCAAACTGATGGAGACGTGTCATGGTGCTACAACGCCAGCATCTCGAGTTTGCATCGCAGTGTCTCGAGCTGATGAGCCACGAGTCAGCGCCTTGGCCAGGACCCGAACATCACGACAGACCTGCGGGCGGGATCTACGAACCGGTGCTCAGGACACGTTGTGCCAAAAGTAGTCGGCTACCAGGGACCCTCGCTGGCCTCTCCGTTTCCCCTGTAGTCCTTGCATGCTTGTCCGTCGCTGGTCCCATTGTCGATTTGCGACTGGGTGCGGGCCGGGCAGCTCCCTGGGTGGTCTCAGTGCCCAACAGGTGTCCAACTAAGAGGCATTATTGCCGATATGCCCCTCGTAGGCTCTCTGACACATGCATTCTCCGATGCGGCTCACGCCTGGCTTCAAGGCAGCCTGCAGCATCTCGTGACACAAGGCAAGCGAGCCCTGCAGGATTATTCGCTCACCCCTCGACGACCTTGGGTAGTCTCATCAGGCCCGCAACGGAGCGAGAAATTTCCGTCCGGTAAAGTGCTCTATCAATACCCAAGAGCCGTTTACCGAGATATGAAATGTGACTACGCCTACATCTACCCGACTGGCGATAGCCTAGACTGCGCCGCTCCGAGGACAGCCACGCCGCAGCCGTTGGTGCGCAAATGGCTCGTTCAGGCGGATGATTTTCATCGAAACCCACAAAGAATTTCGCAGCGAGATTGGCCCTTCCGATTTGGGCTCTTGCGATTATCAAAAAGCCGTTGACGTGAAACAAAGTTTCTTATGCTGTGCCCTGCGCACCGCGGCACAGAGATCGAGCCCACGGGTGCAGTAGCCGAGAGGGCTGCTCTCAACACGCCACGCATCTCACCATCGCATAGCAAAACGCGCTCGTGTGCGACCATGCAGAAAAGAAAAAATCACAGTGGCGGCTTCTGGAAGGTCGTCGGGTAAGCCGCAGATGGTTGCGTGCAGAAGGATTATTGAAGTCTAGCGGCGTTGGCACTAAACAGGGGCTGGTGCGCACCCTTACAGTGCACTCGTCCCGGCTCGCAGAAATCTCCTCGAGGAATGACGTGCCTGTCTACAATATGCCCATGGGTACCCGAAGAGGCCCCTATCCCTGCTTCGGACCTTAATCACAATGGCGTGAGATTGGGAGGCGCTTCACCCAATACGCGGACTTATACGCGGTCGCCTGTCAGTGTCAACACTACCCGACGTCAATAGACGCCGGCAACTCTATCCTAGTCGACAACGTGTGCATAGTTTGGACTACAGCGTGACTTGCAGCTTGTCAGTCCCAATCCGACCACACTGGTGGCAGCTACCGCGCCAGCAAATAAACCTTGGGGCAAACCGATACATGCTCGATACAAAAAGGGACTGCGTCGCACCGAAAGGAATCGTGTCTAAACTTTTCAATCTCGTCGACCACGACGATGCGCACAAAAAGCCACTATCGAGTCAATACGCGCGCTGTCCGAGCATGGCAGGATGTTCGCCCACTGCCATGTCGCAGGGCCCCGATAAACTTTCGCCAATCCGCACCTTTGTGGCACAGCAAAGCAATGCCAGCATGGAGCGTTACACAGAACCGACGGGGACGCGGGCTCTGGAGAAGCAAACATGGCCTGACCATGCGGGTCACAACGGCCTTTCTTCGCACAAATATCGAGATCTGGCCAATTGCTAAAAATCTAACGCTTTTTCTTTTAGTCGCCACGTCGTCCAGCTGTCAAATCGGATTGTTTTCACCTCGGTCCGCGCACAATAATGAAAGGGCCCACGGGATTTAGTTCACTGACACGTGCCTGAAGAAAATCTTATAGCCGATTCATGTCGTTGGGCATAGGGCCCGGGTATTGATTCAATGCATTTGCTGAACTCAAAACTTCCGCTTCTTGGAGGGACGAGCATTCTTTGCTCGGCGATTTTCCTGCACCTTGCGGTTTTTGCGCACAGCGTCCACATCTCTAAGTTCGCTCTTGGCGCCTCCATCCTTCCATGCACCGATGCGCTTCTCCTTCGCTTCAGCCACCCTCTTCTTCTGGACGTGATAATCATCGCGGTACCGATCAGCCTGCTTCGGAGCCTTCTCGGCCTTGTGCTTGTAGCGCGGGGCGTTATTGAAGGATCCAGCAGACCGGTTGGGGGCTTCAATCTCGCCCACTCGAGGCATCTTGACCTTGTTCGCCTTGCGCCAGTCGTCAAAGCGACCACTGCGGAAACTGGCTGCAATCTTTTGTCCACTTTCTCCTCGAATCATCTTGGCTCCCTTGGAGCCATCCTCGTCGTTGGTGCGGTTTACGTATTTCTTCGACTTTTTGTCCCAACGCATCTTGGACTTGGCCGCATCTGCAAAACCTTGAATTTCATCGTTTACAAGTGACATTTCTGCCGCCCTTGCTGCTGACACGAAGTTGGTGTTGCCGGCATCTCCTCCGCTCACTCCGTAGGCCTTCTCCTCTGCCATGTTCTCCTTGGGAGTATATGACATGAAGAAGTCATCGTTTTTCCAGCTGTCCTGTTTTGACTTCTTCGAAGACGGTTGTGAAACGGAGACCTCGAGCTCATCAGAGTCAGAGTCGTATACCCCATCAGCGACTTCAACTTCGTCTTCATCCTCTGATCCTTCTTCACCGTTTGAATGTTTTGCAGGTGCTTGAAGTGGGTCCATGTCGTCCGCTGCCAGTTTGTTGGCTGCTTGCTTGGCTTTCTGTCGTCCGACTTGTTCACGTCTCTTGCGCATAATCTCGGCTGTGTCACTCTGGGTGCCTCGTTTACCGATCTCGAATACGGTCTCCGCAGGCCTGAATGATTGAATTCTCGCGAGCATATCTTCCTTCGCTTTCTGTGCACTATGCGCGTCATCGCTGAAGAGCATATGCGTCTCTGCAAAGTTGGGAGATGCAACCAACTCCTTAGCTCGTCCCACACTTTGTGCACTTGCCTGGTTGCGTGTTCGTTGATATTGGCGCTCACCCTTTTCGGCTACGCTTAGGAGAAGCGCTAGGTCTTCATCATCGGCGAGCTGTTTGTTCACAATCTCGACAGACGATTCCAGTTGCCATGGTGCCAAGCTACCGACAACGAAGTCTTCTGCATAGTTTGGCTCTTCGTGTGACCTCCCGACTAAGAGTCGTTTGCCGAGGAAAAGCTGTAGATCTATGAGATAGGGTAAGTCGACGTGTCTGCACAGACTGTAAGCCCATCCTTTCCTTCCAGCTCGAGCCGTTCGCCCGACTCTGTGTACGAAGATCTTGGGCTGCGAAGGGAAGTCGTAGTTGATGACGTGGTTGATATGGGGCATATCCACACCACGAGCAGCCACATCGGTGACAACGAGGATGCGAGTCAATCCAGTGCGGAAATCCTGAATCTGCTCCTTGCGCGCTGTTTGGTCAAGGTTACCGTACACTTGTGAAGTTAGCAAGAGCACTATACAGTAACATATGATCACGTACCGTAAGATACGGCGTATCCCGCATTGCGAAGAAGGTTTGCCAGATACTCCACTCTGTGCTTTGTTGCAGCGAAGATGATGGTGGACTCGGCGATCGGGACGTCCTTGACAAATCCGTCGCTGCGCTTCCGCTTCTTGCTGTTGGCAGCTTTTTCCGCATCTGCCTTGGCCTTCTTTGCTGCGTCGGTCTCGCCCACCGGCACCTTGATGACATTGTCGAGAAGGTGAAGCAGCGCGCCATCACGGTCACCCGACTTGATTGTGAAGTAGGCACTTTTGAGATCTGGAGAGATCTTGCTCTCAGCATCGAGACGGATGAGCTTTGGCTCTTGCAAACCTGCTCTCGCAAACTCTACGAGGGATTTGGGGAGTGTCGCACTGAACAGCAATGTTTGTCTCGAAGCGGGCAGAGCATGCAGAATCTCAGCTAGTTGAGCGGCGAAACCCATCTCGAAAAGACGATCGGCTTCGTCGAACACGATGTACTTTACGGAGGACAGATCGAGGCCCATCTCGACTTTCAGATGCAGGAAGCGACCAGGAGTGGCGATGATGATGTCGGGGTTGGTGGTCATAGAGCTGAATTCTGCGAACATGTTAGTCTCGTTTTTCTTAGAGTTGCCCTGCCCGTGTACACGTACGCTCTTCGAGACTGTCACCTCCAACGAGCAAAATAGTTCTCAAATCTGTGCCGCGACCCAGCTCCTTCACAACCTTCAGCGTCTGCAGTGCCAGTTCTCGGGAGGGCGACATGATGATTCCTCGAGCGCCTACTTTGGCAGAATGCGCCTTGAGTTTTTGGATCATGGGGATGACGAACGCGGCCGTCTTTCCGGAACCCGTCCTAGCCATACCCACGACATCTTGTCCATCGAGCATGAGTGGAACGGCCTTGCGCTGGATCGGAGTCGGAATCTTGAATCCCTTCTGCGTAATGGCCTTGAGAAGTGCCGCGTTGAGGCCCATTGCCTGGAAACCTCCACCTTTTTTGACTGACTTTCCGACATTCGAGGCTTTGCGATTTGAGGCAGCCTGTTTCGCGGCGATAAAGGCTTCGTCGTCGGATCCGTCATCGTGTCCGACGTCCAGATCGACGCCCAGATCTGCGTTCAAATCCGCCTCTTGCTGAACATCATCGCCGCCAGCGAGGGCATCGAATATGTCGAACTCGGTTTCGGAAAGCGCCGGCGAGCTCGCGCGGGGAGCCATGACAGATAGGTGGTTGGTAGGGCTCGGAGGCGATGTGATGCACTTTGCCTACCCGACGTCTGAAAGTCGCGCCTCCAGTCTGGCTGTTGGAAAATTTCGGGCACGGGCCTCTTGAAATCTTGGCGGCAGGGATGAGCATAGTGCTAGCTTCCACGTGCCCCGCGATGAGGCAGGCGCGTCCGACGCGTTTTGCCCTCACCGAACTTCTGCCATCGCGTCACCCAAACTGCACCCACGAGATGAGTATGCAATCCCCTTCTGGTATGCCTTGAACCCTTCGTCCTAACGTTTTTAGACAATTACGGCGGCTACGAAACCTCGTACAGCACCACCTCTTACGGCGCTGGCGGTGGTGCTGGCGGAGGCGGCTTCATACCGGGAGAGGGTGGTAGTACACAGAGCCCTGGCGGTCGACAAGACCGTGCCCAAGATACCCTGCGACCCGTCACCATCAAGCAGATACTTGATGCTCAACTCGAAGTTGGCAGCAATGACGCCTTCAAAATCGACGGCGCAGTAATTACTCAGGTATGCAAGAATTCTCCGGCCAATCTGTCTGTACTAACTGCTCCTCAAGCTCACATTTGTCGGCCAAATACGCAACATATCAAACCAGACTACAAACACGACGTACAGGCTCGACGACGGCACCGGCAGCGTGGAAGTCAAGCAATGGGTCGATTCCGATGCTGCAGAGCAGACCAACCCTACCAAAGCGAAACTCGTCGAAGGTGCCTATTGCCGAGCATGGGGCAAGCTGAAGAGCTTCAACGACCGAAGATCCGTCGGAGCGACCGTCATCCGTCCAGTAGAAGACATGAACGAAGTCTCCTATCACCTGCTTGAAGCGACCGCGGTACATCTATACTTCACGCGCGGGCCTCCTGGCAGTACGCAGGGCGGCGCTGCTACAAATGGCGCTGGCGGACAGCAACAAGCGGGAGATGGCGCTAACTACGGCGGCGGATATGATCTTGTCGGTTACACTGCATCAGCGAAAAAGGTGTTCAACCATCTTAAGACCACTCCTCAGTCCAACGAGGGTCTGAACCAGCACGAGATTGCGGCACAACTTGGTATGGATACAGCGGAGGTTGCAAAGGCTGGTGACGATCTGTTGTCGGGTGGTCTTATTTACACCACTGTTGACGACCAGACCTGGGCCATCCTTGAGGCTGATTAAGCATGATGTTTATAGGCGTGGAACCAGGTGTATGGGCGAATAAGTAGGGGAACAACCAACTGTGCTGGTAAAACATTGGCACAGGCGTAACGATTCATCATGAGATTTCACATAGTGTATTGAAAGCATGCGTAAGATACAATCTGTACAACACGAACTACTTCTCTGCATTGGTAGAGAGAAACAATATGCACGTCGCCACGATAGCACTTGATACCACTGTGAACACGACCTGCGTCTTCCAGCCTGTCTGCACCAATGCCCGCCGCGTGCTGTACCGTGAGACTGTATTGATGTAATTCGACAACCCAGACAACATGCATGCGATGGAAAGAAGCCAAAATACGATTCCCAAGGGTAATGCGAAACGCTTTTCTGCAAAGTACTGTAAGCATGATGTGGTAGAGAGCGTCATGCTGGTGACTTACCAAGTGGAGTAGGTTCCAACTTGAGATGGAATGAGAGGACGATAGCGACAGACACGATGGCCATGTACACACTAAGCTTCAACCAAGACAGGAACGCTGTAGGATATGTTAGCTATGTCGTCGCCTCGTACTTTCATCGACTCGTAGCATACTTCGTTCATTCGCAGCATGATCCCTTGCATCCGAAGACACGTTATCGAACAACAGCACACCAAACCACGGTCTCTCTCTAAATGCCACTCGGTCGTAGTCATTGTTTCTGAACGACAAGTCAATTTTTGAAGAGAATCATGCAAGCTAGGTTGCACGCACTGTTTTACCAAGATGGGCTGGCCTCCAAAGACCTTGTAGAACGGCCGGTACGGCTCGGATAGTATAGATTCATCTGCATCGCCCATACGCGAGGCATGTCGGAAATCCATGTTTTTTTAGCAAATGTGTAGGACCACTTCGGGTTGGGATAGAAACGCGCTATGGCTAGTGGTATGGGGATGTTTGGTCGGCAGACGAATGAGTGTGCTTGGATGAGAAGCCGCACGGACCACGCCCGATGAGGTCACTACTCGATTTGGACATCTCCAGGGTTTGTGAGAGTTGATACCATCAACACAACCAACATTTATCTTATTGCAGCAAAGATGGGCAACGAAAAAGAGCTGGTTCTATTCGGAAGCGATAAGTAAGTGTTTGGGCAATGCATTGTCGCTTTGAAGCTAATGCATCCTGTGCAGAGGCTGGAAATCTTCGGATTGGACGGACAGTGATGACCGAGTGAGAGGAGGAGCATCTCAGGTAAACTCCATCTCTCATAATCAATCAAATACTCAGATAACTGATCTAAAATTGCCAGTCCTACCTTACCATCAATGGCTCCTCTGCACGTTTCCACGGCAATCTCGACATCACTGCTCTCGGCGGCGCCGGCTTTGCCAGTCAGCGCACTACCGGCGAGGATCGCACCTGGGATCTATCTACCTACCATGGCATTTATCTCGATCTAGGAAAGCACGACGGCAAGAAGTACACACTAACGCTCAAAGACGAGATTCTGCCGCTTATGGCAGATGGACGGGAACAGTCGACCATCAGCTGGGAGTACGATTTCGATTCGCAGAGTGAGCTTGGTTTGTTCGTGCCATGGCATGCAATGAAGCCTACGTATCGCGGGAAAGAGAAAGACGATGCGAAGCCATTGGATCTAAAGAACGTCAAGCGGTTTAGCATCATGATGAGAAGGTAAGAAGGTCTACCACGCAATTGCAATATTTCGATAATTGACAGTCGACAGTTTCTTTGGCACTCAAGAAGGCGATTTCTCGCTCACCCTCAACTCGATCAAGGCTGTTACGCAACCAGACGATATCGAAAGAGGCATCATGAGTGGTGAGAAGGGCACAGGAGTAAGACTTTAACTACATCACAGTGCTGGTTGGTAGCTAACGCTACGGCAGGGACAGGAGCCTTGGTCGTGGAAGAACTCCAATCTTGTTGGTCTAGCAATCATTCTGAGCTCGACGTGGGCTATCTCTTGGGGGTATTGCTGGTGGAAAGGATATGATATGGGCATCATGCGGTTTGGACGATGGTGGTCTGTGGTGAAGAAGGATACGTTATAGGTCGAGAGGACGTGATGCGTTACGTGAAGCTTATGATTTAGGTCAGATGTCAGCTTGGGCGACAGATTGGAACTCGGTACTCTTAGACATTATCTCATCCACAATTCTGTCGACTAAAAGTCTGGTTGTATTACCAGAGTTAGCAGTTGCGGCTCAAAAGCAGATACGATGTACGAGGAGCAATTGGGCACCGCCTGCGGGTAGTATAAGACTCTGTCCTGTCCTGTCCCGTCAGCACCAAGCTCTCATATCGATGCATTCAAGTGGTCGGAAATTCCCGTACAACGATTTTCATCCTTCTTGCTTATCGGTAATTTGTAGAGCGCTATGGCCAGTGGAGATACTTCAGGAAATGCTTGGCTCTATGTTTGTGAGACTAAGCTTGAGTAATCATCAGTACATTCGCGTGCATAACGAAGGCATCCCAGAGAATTGGGCCTTTCCTACCCTTGACGAGAGATTAGAGAGTGGGCGTTTATTAGCGCAGTGACAAGAAGTGCGCAAGAAACGTCCCGCGGACTTAGGATGCTTGACTCCGCTAGTGCAGAGACCCACTCCAGTGTGGACCTCATCAGGGTGAGCTCCTTCCCAGATCAAAGTCGGCTCCACGCCGCAAAGGATAAGTGTTCCTTCAATGTCGCTGCAGCGTTGGACAAACGCTGCTGTTCATGTTGCTCGAGATGTTCCGACCCTACACCTGCACCTAGTCCTCCAGCTTATGGTTGCTGACTATTTTGGCCCCATCGACACTACATCTCCAATCACCAATTTCTCCGCTGCCAAGCGAGCGACCATGGCCAGACCTTCCCAATTTTGTCGATGATGGGCAAACGTCCGCTCGCGGAAATTCTCAACCAGGCGCTCAGGACCGCAAGGTGGAGAGACCGGGGCGCTTTGAGGCTGCATGAACATGGATTTAGATTGCAGCAACTGCAGTAGTGGCAGCCTTGGGGAGAAGATGTTCACTGTCCACGGACGCCGCTCAGTCGCTATAAAGAGCGACGGGCGAACGGTGTCAGATAGAGTATCCGCAGGTATTCCCGTTCGTCTCCTCAGGGTTCTCGATTTGTTTTCGATATTCCTAGCTTGTCGATAATACCGTTTCGCAACCATGCATCTTACGGCTCTTACCCTGGCTTTGGCTACCACCGCCGTCGCGGCAAAGAACTCCACCCAGCCGTACTCGACATGGATGGCTACTTCCTTTTTGTCCAAGGGCCAGAAGATCGACAACCACTACGTCTCCTCCGTCATTCGTGAGGGCATTCAGAAAGCTGCCGTAACCCAAAACGACACTGCTCTGCTTGAGTATGCCTCCGAGGCGGTCTCGTCCGTTGTCACCTCGAACGGTACCATCAAGGGCTGGAACGCAACTTTCTACACATTGGACGATATCCGGTTTGGCAACAACATCCTCTACTTCTGGAACTCGGAAGGACGCAAGGACGAGAAATACGTTGTTGCGGCCAAGGGTCTCCGAGAGCAGCTGAACCGATGGCCGCGCACCCCCACCGGCGGCTTCTGGCACAGGGCCCCAACTTATGAGAACCAGATGTGGTTAGACGGCATCTACATGGCCGATACCTTCTACGCGACCTACACTTCGTACTTCGAGCCCAACAACGTCACAGCCTGGAACGACATCGAGTTGCAATTCGACCTCATCGAGGAGCACTGCCGAAACGAGACGACCAACCTGCTGTACCACGGCTACAGCGAGGACAAGTCGACTGTATGGGCTGACCCCGTCACCGGCGCCTCGCCATACGTCTGGGACCGTGCTCTGGGATGGTACTTCGTTGCGCTTGTCGAGGTTCTAGAAGTCTTCCCCAAGACACACAAGGGCTACTCCAAGCTCGTCGACTACTTCGTCACACTTGCCTCCGGTATCAACGACGTGCAAGACACCAGCGGCGGATGGTGGCTGCTCATGGACCCGGAACTTGCTGGAAGGGAAGGCAACTACATCGAGTCGAGCGCAACCGCCATGTTCACCTACGCGTACATGAAGGGTGTCAGGCTCGGTTTGTTGGAGAAGAAGTACCAGCAGACTGCGTCCAAGGCGTGGGATCTGATGTTGGACGAGTTCATCCAGTACGAGAAGAACGGCACCATCAGCTTTACTGGCACCGTGACTGTGGGAAGTTTGAAGGGCGATGCGTCTTACGAGTACTACACCGGTGTTGAGACCCTGACCAATGATGGTAAAGGTGCTGGTGCGTTCATGTACGCTGCCACCGAGATGGAGAAGGCTGGACTTGAGTAAAAGAGCGTATTTAAACTTCGTTGTACATATTATAGGCACCAGAATTGACTTCAAGAGCAAGTCTCCGCATGAAGTCGACATTAACTTTGGTTCAGTAAGCACGATCATGGATGCAGCATGTTCCTCGCCGTAACCTCGGAACCGTAAGCCACGCTATCTTCATCAAGCCAAAGCGCGCGGCATTTCCCAAATCCCCAAATCCGAAGCAACACCAACTACACGATGCGAAAGCACAGCGTCAGCCTCTACAACTATAAGCTCCTGTACAAACACACGTTTCAATCAGGAAAATCGCCCACGCCGTGATTGCACCTCGGCAAGCAGCTGCCGAAAGGCCCGTCACGGTTGCCAAAAATAACACGTCGAACCCGGGTCCCCTGAGCAACCAAGTGGAGCGACGAGCCACCGCCCCGAGCAACCCGTCACAGCCTCAGGTCAACAGCAGGCCATGAGCGACTGGGCGTAGGCCTCGATGGATCTTGCTGGAAGTATCGTGTGACGTGCGCTAAGCCGTTGGCACTGGCTCTGGCTCTGCGGATATTTCTTGACCGTTTAATCGTCCCTGTTTGCTAGATCACTAACAAATCTCCGACTACTTACCTGTACACTCCAATTAAACAAGAAGACGTTGATAGTGTCTCTGTCAGACTACCACCGACACCTACGACTATACCCAAAGTAAGTCTTCCTACAACCTGTATACACCGCCCTTCTAACCACCACTACAGTAACCCTACCTTCAAACCTCACCTCCACCTCCCCAAAAATGTCCCTCATATCCTCCGCCGCCTCCCCAAGCGCAACAGGCACTTCGTGCACCACAGCCGACTTCTCCGTCTTCCCCACACAAGACATTTTCTGCGGCGTAGGCAGCACAACAGGCGTTGCGTCCAACACATCCGACGCACTCAAACAATGCTGCAAAGACGCGCCGGTCGAGGAATTCAACGGCTCCTGCGGATACTACTGTCTCAGCTACGAACAGACGGTTGCTGATCTGCGCACTTGCTTCATGGATAATGGGGTTAACCCGAGGGACATCCTTTGCTCGGGGAATAATACTGCGAGTGCGACGGGCACGCCTAGTGGAGGTGCGAGTCGCACGTCTGGTGGTAGTGGGCCGGATGCGACGGGCGAGGATGGTAAGCCGGATACGGGGGCTGCGGTGCATGTGGGTGTGTCCAAGACTGCGGTGGGTATGCTGGGGATGATTGTCATGTCGGCGTTTGCTGGTGCGCTGTTGTAGGGTGCTATTGTGGTTATTAAGCATGTCTACGATGAACGGAGTATACGGATTCGCGGCTTTGGTTAAGGTGGTTGCTGCTCTACCTTTCTCGTTCAAGCATAATACCAGATAATTTCTTACTTTCTATACCTCGGATCTTCCTATTATATCTTCCCGGCACTCGTTGCAAAAGTTTGGCGTAGTGACCGTTACAGTCAGTTTTCGTTATGCTTCCTGCTTACACGAGGTAGCCGCCAATCACCGCTTCAGAAAGACGAATCTCGATGCTACAAACATGTGCATGCCTTGGCAGTCATGCAATGTTTACCGAATGACTGTCTCCGTATGCGGTCGCATCCTGCGATTGGACTTGACGAAATAGGTCAACGGTCATGGGTATGTCTTGCCTACCGACATACTGGTAATGCGATTTACCCCGCCAGAAGTGTAACCAAAGCTTGCATGGAGAAGGAAGCGATGGTTCGTTTGATTGGGTATTAAACTGGTATATATGGCAAGGTCCAATTCCAGTTCAGTCTGACCTGTCAGCGACACAACGCAGTCCTTGAACCACATCTGAACCATGGCCACTCTAGCTGCCATTACCATCACAATCTCAGTCATAGGATTATACTACATCCTCAGAATAGGACGTCGAGAATCCCACCTCCCACCCGGTACCTCACTCCTTAACTCCTCCCATCTCCATGCTAATCCACACACCCAGGCCCACGCCCCGTCCCCCTCCTTGGCAACCTCCTCTCTATACCCACCGTAAACGCCCACTTCCAATTGAAAACATGGGCAGAGCAATACGGCGGCATCTACAGCCTCAAGCTCTTCCACACCACCACCATCGTCCTCAGCTCTCGACGCCTCGTCCGCGAACTCATCGACAAGCGGGGCACAACATACAGCAGCCGACCGCCGTTTCTCTTCGCAACACACTACATCGCACGGGATCCCGCAAACATTCCGCTCGTAGTTTTCATGCCATCGGGCGAGAAATGGAGGTTATGCCGCAAGCTACTCGCACAGTGTTTCAATGAAGCAAAGGTTGACAAAGAATATGTTGGACTTGTGGAGGCGGAGGCTACGCAGATGCTGTGTGATTTTGTGAAAGCGCCAAAGGGGTTTATGGGGCATACGTTGCGGTTTGCGAATAGTATTATCAAGGGTCTGGTGTACGGGACGCGAACTAAACACACGGAGCAATTAGAGGAGTACGAAGTCTGGTTTGAAAAGTACGTCGCATTGCTTGAGGTCGGTGCAATACCGCCGGTCGATTTACTACCATGGTTGATACATGTGCCGCAGGGGTTATGGACAGGACGCTGGAAGAATTGGAAGGATAAGAGTGATGAGAGTGGGCGGGCTGTTAATGCCGCGTTTACGCAGATGGCGGAACCTGTGCTGGAGCGGAGAAGAAGAGGCGTGCGTGCTGCGACTGTTTATGATTACGTGCTCAACGAGGGGGAGAAGGGGATTGATCTCACGAGAAGAGATTTGGATGTTTTTGCTGGGTCGCTGATTGATGCTGGGAGTGATACTACGGCGTCTGCTATTCGTGTTTTCATCCAGGCGATGGTTAGGTATCCGGATGTTCAGGTGCGAGCGCATAGACAGGTCGACGATGTGGTTGGCAGCATGCGATCGCCGGGGTGGAGCGATGTCGCGAAGCTGCCGTATGTCGTGCAGATTATCAAGGAGGTCATGCGATGGAGGCCTCTTGCGGCTATGATACCGCATTCTACTACGGCTGGTATGTTTCATCTCGATCAGACTTTAAGACTACCGCGGCTAACGTGAGGTAGATGACACGATCGACGGCTACTTCATCCCAAAGAACACAACAGTCCTCATCAACATCTGGGCCTTGAACCATACCCCATGCGACACCGATACTTGCGAATCTCCAATATCGGAATTCAATCCCGATCGCTACGCAACACGCACGCATACCTCATCTCACTACGCAGCATCTCCCGACATTGCCTCACGAGATCACTTCACGTACGGCGCTGGCCGTCGTATTTGTCCCGGTATCCATCTTGCTGAACGCAGTCTTTTCATTGCGATTGTGAAGTTGCTTTGGGCTTTCGAGTTCAAAGAGAAGCCTGGGAAGCCGGTTGATATCGATCCTGAGACGGGGTTTACGGATGGCATTGTGAGGACGCCGAAGGATTTCGAGTGTGAGATACGGGTCAGAGAGGGACGAGAGGGATTGCTTGAAACAGAATTTGCTGAGGCGAGGGATGTGTTGGCCAAGTATGAGTTTTGAAGGAGTTGTGATGTGATGTCACAATGATCGTGGATCATTTATAGGTTTCGTATCGACGCAATACTCATAGGATTGTTGAAAGTAGTCCTTTACGGTCTTCCTTTGGTTGCAAAGTACATCGAAGGCTTGTTTTGATGTCTTTCAAATCAGGAGAGTAGTTAGTGACCAGTTCTGGCCAGTATGGAGAAGTTGCGACGAGGACCTATAGTTCAGTTGACTGAATCGGAAAATGGTACTCGCAATGGTTTTCTTCGTATAACAAGAGGTGCAGTGAGGCCAGCGGGCGCAATGGAGATACCGAATGATGGTAGCGTTGCAACAGCAAACATCCTGCAGAAAGAGCGTGGAACCGCATACTATGATGTACATGACAGATCTCGTCTAACTTGCCTCATCCAGAACATTTCGAAAATGTACATTTCCGAGATCCCATTTCCTACCATACCCAGGTATGCACCTCCTGTAATAGTCGTTTTAGCGTTCCAGCTCTCTACACTCGCGAACGTAGACCATCGAGACAACTACTCCACATCTAATTTCCCGTCCCTGAACCTGGCTTCCTAGGCTCCGAGATAGCGTACCAGAGTATACTACGTGCAGCTCGGCTACGACTGCCCATCGTAATTCCAACGTGTGTCGCTCTCTGGGACCGAAACAAGTCACGAACCACGGTACGGAAATGCAAACTTATGTCTGATCGCGGGTAAGTTCCTGGCTAGAGCTCTCGGGCTATAATCTCGCCGGCGGTTTCCTGACTTCTAAGCGATGGACTGGTCGCGATCGTTACGGAGACTTTAGTTGGGGGTTGTTGTTTCACTGTCTTGCAAGCCACGCTGAGAACACCTGCGCATGGTGATGGCGATTCAGACACCATAGTGGTCGCCTCTAACGGCTAACGGCACAACGTGGCCTCACCCGTTTATTACATGATTTACAGCATTGAACAGGAATGCGCACGACTCGGTCAATCTCCGCGTCACTGTGCCACTTCCCTCGATCCCACTATCAAAAGAACAACCTTGGAACGTATGAAGGAGCAAAAAGCGGAGAAATACACCGCAGCGAATCAAACATAGTCCATCCTTCCTGCATGAAGGCTTCGATGCGACAGAAAAGCAAGCGGATATGTCCGCGAAGCTGGAAGAAGCAGTGTGAAGTACCTAACACAAGTGTCTGCAGCCGACCATATGCGGGTTGCGGGTACCTTATCCCCCCCCTCTTCTTCATCTACATTCCTTTTGCTTGTCGACAACTGCTTTTCTCCTTCCGCCGCGGCGGCAGCATTATGCAATGCACAAGAATAATTCTCCATCACTCACTAACCATGCAGCAACTGCACGAAACAACCTCTCCTGCATCTATCCCCGCCATCTCAATCTCACCATGTGACTTACCCCATTCCCTCCACGCATCTTCGCAACGGTAACGATGCACCACCCGTCTTTGTCACCACGATCGGCCCGCCCATACACAAAGTAACCCTTCAAGAGTTTGGTTCGTTGGGTAATGACTCTGAAAACCACAGTCAACGTCCGCGGGTAAGGAAAATTAGCCCACATCGCTCGTGCCATGCAGGGGCTCAGGGGCTGGCTGGTGCGAAGGTGCGGCGCAGGTCGGAAGAAGGCGCGAAAAGTAATGACGGAAAAAGGAAAATACGGAAACGACATAACGATAACGTCACGGGTTTATGCGAACGGTTAGTAGCGAGGTAGAGGGGCTGTGGGATGCTGCTAGGAGCGTTTCCGCGGAGGTAGGAAGGTTGCGCGGATGGCTGAGAGTGAGGACGGGGATGCTGGGGATTTGGGGAGTGGGTTGGAATGTGGATTGGGGCGTGGTAATGAGATGAAGGTGACGAATGCGTATGTTTATGTAGAGAATGGACTTGTTTGGTCAGCCGTAGTCGTCGATATTGAACTGCACGGAAGTGAACAATGCCAAAGAGGGTGAACTCATGCCGAAGCATGTTGATTCCATTTCCAAGTCTGCATAGCTGCATTCTTCTAGACTTAATGGGGTGTTAATACACCCAGTCCCTATGATTCATTATTCCATTATTCCAGCTGACTGCCGCCAGACAAGACATATTCAAGATACAGAAGCCACCATGCCCTCCCAGCATTCGACAAATGAGAAACAGATACAGTAGTAAAGGAAACAATGTACTACGCTGAGCAAACTGACGTTTCGTGATATCCAGTTCTCCGTTAAATACAAAGGAATCCGGGGTGTAAGATCAAGTAAACGCTTTTAACTCCTGGTGGCAACGCCCTGCGCCAAATCGTGATAGTATCCAAGTTTGTGTACCGTATTAAGATTATGCCTCCATGTGTGCCCATGAATGAGAGAGTGAAAGAAATAAAGAGAAAGGGTATGCCGTATTGCCATAATAGACTGGCAAAGAATAAAAACGCATCGACGAAAAGTCCGGGTATAGTCAAGAAGCGAAGGTCAACGTTGCGATAGGCATGCTATCAAGACTGAAGCTACTACCCTCTAAAGTCCCCTGGTCCCTGGTTGGCGAAGATGTAGCTCTTGGGCTGGGGTTCGGTCGTTCGCCGTATGAGGTTTCCATGCGGATCCGTGCCTTGAGGTGGTGTGTACTGGTGTACGAGGAAGTCGGGCATGGCGGAGACTTGGGGCGCGAAGGGAACGTTGTGATGGATGCCACTCAATGACATGTCCTTGTAATCATCATACATGTTTCCGCCCTGCATGTACTGGACACTGCTGTCGTCGCCTTGGGTCTGCTGAGCAGTGTCAGGTAGCGATGGTCGCCTGAAATGCGAGGGCTTCGGTTGTTGGATGGTAAGGTCGGTTGTAGAATGGAAGGCTGCACGCATCTGGGGTTGCTGCATGTATGAGGTTCGAGGGAAGTGCTGCTGTGTTGCTGGTGCTGATTGAGGAGGCGTATCGCGGTACAAAGCGTCGTTGACAAATCGTGATTGGAGATCCATTGATGAAGATGGCGGTGAAGTATTCTTCGCGATTACGTTGCCAGCTTGGTCGTTGGACCAGTTCGCATGCATGCTCTCTGGGCTGTTGTGATCCGGCATCGCGGAATGAGGTCGTATCACAGCGGCACCACCCCAATAGTTTCCAAAATCTTGTGGTGTCAAGGGGGTTGGCGGCGCTAGACTACCGCCTTGTCCAATTGTGGTGGTGCTGGAAGTCGAGAACGTTCGTGCGAATTTGGGCGACGCAGCAGCATCCGAGAAGCTCATAGCCATAGGTGAGCGTTGCGCTGAACCTGGCTGCGACTTTTGGACACGACCTCCAGCATTCGCAATTCCAGTTGATCGGATCCGGCGGATGACTTTGTCGTTGTTGCCTCCTGGTGATGGCATGGGGGCAGAATACGAGGCGCTCCTCATTGCGCTGGAGTTCAGGTTGACTGGACGTTTCTGTCTTCTCGCAGCGATGCTTGAATGCTGATCTGATGGTTGGAAGCCCTCCGGAGTACCGTTTCGGATGTGGATTGCGTCCATGTTGTTGGCCAAGTTGCTGCTTGAAGAGTTTCTTCGGGCAAACGCATCCTCGCGGAAGTGCAGTGGAATGTCGAGATCAGAGGGTGCCGCACTGAGCTTTCGTGCTTGTTCCGGTGAAGTGAGAATGGCGTGTGCAGACGAGTTTGGCTGTTGGTAAAAGTTCGACTGCGGGTACATTTGGTTTGAACCATCTTGGGGCCAGAATGGAAGCGTCTGTTCGGACGCTGAAGCCTGAGCAAGACTGTATGGTGCGAATTGATCCTCTGGTTCCTCGACCTGCTTGGGCTGTGCCATTTGCGAAGGATCCTCTGTCCAGCCGGTGTAGACCGAGTTCAAAGAAGCGATGGAGGGAGGTGTTGGTCCGTTTGGCGATTGCGTGGTGCCAGATGACTGGGTACCATTGTATGGGGACGCGTCCGACGAAATGGATCCTGTACTTTGCTGAGCTTCTGCTGATGTTGTGTTGGTGGTGTTGGTCGCAGCAAGTGCCGAGTAATCTATCTGGAAGTCGGCGAAGTTGTCGAATTCCGGATGTGAAGGTGCCATGTCGCTGGGCATGGACGCGGGAACCGAAAAGGCACCTAGGTCGCTAGAGTACGCATTGGGCAGCCCGTTGACACCGTTGTTTTCGTAAGAGAAGTCTTGCTCTTGCGCATTGAGACCCATGCCACTGTTGTGCATGTAGGCACCATTTGTCGCAGCCATGATCGAGTGCATGAGGTCGTTGGAGCGGTACGATGCGGAACGGTCGGGCTCCGGGACTGTGCGGAGGGAGTTTTGCATGTCGTATTGTTGCTGCTGCTGTTGATGATGATGATGATGATGCTGCTGCTGTTGTTGGTGTTGGTGCTGGTGCGGGTGCTGCAGTATGAGCTGAGGGCCCAGGTCGAGGGCTGATGGCCCTTCTCCCGTTTGTACAGGAAGCGTTGCAGGGCTGATGTCAGCGTTCGGATAGAAGTCCGGCTGCATGAGCATATGCGGATGTTGCTGGTCTTGCGGGTGCGCGTAGTGATTAGACATGACGGGCACGTGCTGGTGTCCAAACGGAAGGCTCATGGTCATGTTGTACTGGTTCATTAGCTTCTTGCGATCTTGCTTGACTTTGGCTCTGCGGTTCTGGAACCAGTTCTGCAGTCGTGTTAGCGACGCAAGGCATACATCATGACAGGACACTTGCGTTGATCTTGTCCAGTGGCACGCCGAGGCGCGTCGCGAACTCCTTCTTTACATTGGTACTTGGCTTGTGCTGCGCCAGAAAGTGCTGCTCCAGGATGTCGTGCTGGTCCTTGGTGAGGCGGGGTTTGACATCGCTGCCAGGCTGCTTGGGGGCAGAGGGTGCCGTCGTCGAGGCCCCGCTAGAGTCCATGGCGGCGCGCACAGCGGCAATACGGACAGAGCAGCTTCAGATGGGCGCGGAATCAAGGGCGACGAGTGCTGCAATAATGTCGTCGGCGTGGGCGCGTTCGGGTAGTGACAGGTGGGTGCAGCTGTGGAAGGCGGAATCTGGGGCGCTGGTGATGGGCGATAATGCGTAGAGCACGGATGCACGGGATGCACCGAGACGGGTCGACGCTGGGATAGATGTGTCGAGGGAAGATGCCAGTAATGGTAGCGAGTGACGATTACGAAGGGGAGCGAAAACAACAGCAGTAGACTCTATATCTACAATAGAAAAACGAGGGTATTCAGCGCGACGGCGCGGTAGGGAAAGGCACGAAGCGAACGACGACGGAGAAGAAGAGCAGGAGGAGCGATCAGGTTGTTGGCTGCCCAGGTGCCGCTTGGTTGGTCGGAGGTGCTAACTTGCTAAGCCACTGAACCCCCAGCATGCATTATGCTGCTCCGGCACAAAAATAGTTTCGTGACACTCGTCGTCTCCGCTCAGCACACCTGAATCCTGGAGAAGACGCACCAGATGATTCGATCTTCTGTTTCTTGCATCTGCTCGCCCTCCTGTTGCGTGGAGGGCTGCCACACGCTCGCATACACATAGACTCACAGCACTGGCCGGCACGCCCAACCCCGGCGCGCAATCGTGAAGCGCGCCCAGGGGCACTCTCGTGCCTCACGCCAATTGGTCCGGCGGTGGAGCGAGCTGCGGCGGCGGCTGTGATCCGCCCTCGGGCGGGAGACATGTCCCACTGATTTGAAGGCGATGGATGGTGCTGCAGCTTGGGCCTTCCCCCGTTCGGAGAATATACATGAGCGCGTGAGAGTGCATGTCAATGCCAGAGGCAGCCTGCTTGCTCAACCACGTTCCACGTCAAATGTCTAGTCACCGTCGGCGGCGGCATGGCTTCAACGTGGGCAACGGGCTCGAGCGCTCCTTTGAGCTGATGGCGTCAACACTGCGCTCGCCGCGGTGCCGACATCCTGTGCCTCTCACGACTCGCCGAGTAGCTCTTTGTCAGTAACCGCTTCCGGTCCGAGTCGACCATCTGTGTGACGAGATGCCCCCCGGGCGCATGGCCAAGGGGCATATCGCGCCGCTGATCTGCTGGCTCGGAAGTCGGCGCACATGTTTTGGCAACATATCGACGGTTCCTGAGCGTACCTTGCAGCAAAGGGGCTTCCGTACCACCTGCGAAACTCAAATTGGCCCCAGCTTGTCCTACAAACTTCGTGTGTTGACTGACTTGGGAGACGGATAATCCCAGCCTAGCTCGGAAGACTCGGTGCGCCCCCAGCTGGGGGACCCGCTGGCCCAAACCAAAAAACCTCGTGCTGCAAGGGCGTCCCTATCATGCGCTGCACCCTGCCGACCATCAGACGTCCTCGCCAACCCGTCTGAACTTAGTCCTCTTTGCGAGTCTGCTACGCCAGCTGGTCGTGTCGCACCACAGAGACGGCACACCCAGCTGACGTCTTCGACTGCAGTAGCTTGTGGTGCCATCGTCTTTCCAGAAAACAGTTCGATGGGGCGCAGACTGCTCGAAATGGAGTATTTCATGCGACGCGCTGCATTCCGTGACTCCCGTACAGGGAGGATGATACGGCGAGTCGAACAAGGCTAGCACTCCAAGCGACACTCCTGCATGCTGTTTAAGGGTCGCGAGGCTGTGCACGCATGAAGTACATTTCAACCTCCAAACATTGTTGCTCCGCCGCACAATCGGTCTTCGACCTCATCTTCCATCCAATCTACGGCTTATCGTAAGCTTCAACCGTCTGACTGCAGCCCAGTCACCGATGTAAACTGAGCTTGCAGTAGACCTGAAAAATGTCGAGTAAGCAGGCTCACGATCCTGGCAAAATACTGAATCGCCCACACAAAGACGAGTAAGGTAACAGTCGGTGTTGATTCTCTTCGCTTAGACTAAGGCATCTGCGACCTGTATGTCTCCTTGCCCTGTTGCTTTGTCCCATGATGTCAGCGTGACACTGCGCATGTCCTTGACAATGTAATCTGCGCCAGCTTCTATCAGCTGTTCTAGCGTATGTGTGGTGTAAAGTCCCACCACGACGAACCCTGCTGCCTTCCCAGACTTGACGCCTGCAGGCGCATCTTCGAAGACAATGATGGAAGATTTGTTTTCTTGGAGTCCCAGCTTCTTTGCACCCATCTGGTAGGGTGCAGGGTCTGGCTTGCCGTTGGGCACATCTTCTGCCGTTACGAGATTCTTGGGGTGCGCCAGCTTCATGACATCGAGCCAGCCTTGCACAAGAGGTCGCGTGCCCGAGGTAACGATGGACCATGGAACAAGGTGCTCTTCGAGCTTGTCCAACAAAGCTCGTGAACCGGGAATCTCAATGGCGTCTTGCCCGAATTCCTTCGGAATCAACCCCTCTGCTTGAGAGATATCTTATCTGTCAGATGAGTGCTTTTGTCAAAATGAACATGTGGCGCTTACACTCCTCATTTGCGAGCTTTGGCTCATAGATCCTAAGGACATCTATCGATCTTCGACCATGTGATGAAGCGAGGATGACATTAGGATCGACACCGATCTCCTTCCCAATCCTGATGCAGACATGTAAGCTTGTAGTTGTGAACATGCTCGGCTATTACTCACTTGTGCCAATGCTTCACTATGGCCTCTGTGGAGTCGATGATAGTCCCACTACCTATATTAGCTGTCTGACAAGGTGATTCTGATGATTATAACGCACTCCATATCGAAGAGCTGCAGGGGATAAGTATCAGTATAAGTGCGATGCAAGTAATCGTGCTTCTTACCAAGCCATGGAAGGGGATTGTTTTGGCAGGGGCCGTGAAGGAAGGCTCCGATACAGTCATAATTTGAAGTTAGATATGCGATGAGCTGGTTGTCAGTTAACAAGGTCAAGATGTCGCAATGATATAGTGAAGTATCCGAGCGGACTGTTGTAGATAGGACATCTGGTAGAAAGAGAATGCATTATCGAGCTAACTCGATTTGGAATTGGATCCGACATCTACCGATGATGCAGCCAATCATCATAGTGGCAGCTTAAAGATGCTAGTCGCGACGCTGGACACATAGCCGCGAAGCCTGGTCTGCTTGTGACGCTTCCGAAAGATGCATCCAGGACACAGATGGATCAGTTTCCATCTGGGTTGTTGGAGGGCGTGAGAGTTGAGCATGGCCAGGGCCGCGGGGGTGGGGCCAAAGCTAGCTAGGCGGACACAAGCGGCAGAACATTTCACGTGCCGAACTTTTTCTGGATCGCCTCGATATTTTCTGTAGACGATTGCGATAACATACACCACGCCAACAATTCAATATGAAGGTCGGAAGTAAGGCACACCACAGCATTCAGCCTTGGTCTAGTACTGACGACCGTTTTAGAGCCAAAGTCGAAGCGCGTACCCGTGCGGTTACGGCACAAGATCGAGAAGGCTTCAGCGGCGAAGCAGAAGAAGGCGAAGAAGCTAGCGAAGAAGGTATTACAACTATGCGCGACTATAGCACTCGCATTCTGACAAGTATAGGACCCGACGTGGCGCTCAAAGACCAAGAAGGAACCCGGCATTCCCAACCTGTTCCCCTACAAAGATAAGATTCTCGCAGAAGTGGAGGAGCAGCGCAGGAGGAAAGAAGAAGACAATGCGCGCCGACGCCAGCTAGCGAAGGAGCAACAACAGAAGGGCGCAACCGCCGAGGATGCCATGGAGGATGACGAAGAGTTCGAGCAATTCGATGCTGAAGGCGACGAACTACTTGCCGATGACAGCGAAGACGAGGACTCGATGCAGGTGGTAAGTCTACGTGGTTAGTATACGATGCGCCACCTTACTAATGAGATGCAGGACAACAAGTTCAACCCTATGGCAGCTCTCCTGGCTTCCGCAAAAGCGCGCGCCGCGGAATTCGAGAAGAACGATGACCCGGATGCTATGGAAGACAGCGAAGACGACGAATCGGATGGCGATGACGCAGTCAAGGTCCGCAAAGATGCGTCAAGAAAACAGTTCGACAAGGTGTACAAGCAGGTTGTCGACGCCGCGGATGTTGTGCTGTACGTGCTCGATGCTCGCGACCCAATGGGAACACGATCGAAAGAGGTGGAGCAGGCAGTCATGGCAGCCGACCGTTCAAGCAAGCGCTTGATATTCATCCTCAACAAGATCGACCTGGTCCCACCGCCGGTTCTTCGCGCATGGTTGATTCATCTACGTCGCTCATTCCCTACTCTTCCTCTACGTGCATCCAAATCTGCGCCGAACGCGCAAACCTTCGAGCACAAGGACCTCACAATCAAGGGAACATCCGAGACACTCTTCAAGGCTCTCAAGACGTTCGCTGAGTCCCGTCAGTTGAAGCGCTCAGTCCATGTCGGAATTATTGGATATCCCAACGTTGGCAAATCATCCGTCATCAATGCCCTGACATCGAGAGTAGGCGGCAGGGCTGCTGGCTGTCCTACTGGTGCTGAGGCGGGAGTTACCACCAGTTTGCGCGAAGTCAAGATTGACAACAAGTTGAAACTTATCGACTCCCCTGGTATCGTTTTCCCCAACACCGAAGGTTCTAAGGATAGCAAAGTACAACAGAAGGCGCGCCTCATTTTGCTGAACGCCGTACCCCCGAGAGAGATTGACGACCCCGTTCCCGCTGTCAGTCTGCTCATCAAGAGACTGTCGTCTTCGGAGGAACTATTCTCGAAACTGATGGCAGTCTACGATCTACCTCCTTTACACACTGTGGGCAACGACAGGACGACCGACTTCTTAGTTCAGGTAGCAAGGAAGAGAGGCCGGCTGGGCAAGGGCGGTGTACCCAACATGCATGCCGCGGCACAGACTGTCATTGTTGACTGGAGAGATGGTCGTATTCAAGGGTGGACCAGCCCTCCCAAGTACACACCTGCCGAGCCTTCTACCACCAAGACTGCACCAGCTACGAAGGGCGGACTTGTTGGCGATCAGAAGGAGATTGTCAAGGAGTGGGCTGCGGAGTTCAAGCTTGATGGTCTTTGGGGTGATGATTCAAATGATACAGAGGCTATGGAGGAGTAGGCAGCTTGTATTGACTGTTATGGCGAAATGGCGTTCGTAAGGCTATAGTGCTAGTGTACTTGACTCGCACATAGGAAAAAGCTCCGACTAGATATCGGGCCTAACAATGATATATGTTCTTGAAGGCAATCTTACATTCCTGATCCTAGACATTATAGAGCCTTCCGATGAAAGCCTTGCGATGAGCGTGGGTGGATCGTGTACCGCTACTGACCGAATAAGTCCTGCGATATCGGACCTGCATCATACCATTCTACAAGTGAAAAAGTTCTCTCCAAGCTGCAACCCCACACCGATGGGAGGTTCGGCGATATGTTCGCTCCCATAGGTAGGTTTCGCCGCCCCACACTTTGGGGTGAGAGCCGACGGAAACCGAGAGCTCCATCACGTCAAGCTTCATAGCTCAAGATACATAACGACGCGTCTCCTGTGGATTTTTGGCCATTCAAAATCTATTACTACATACAAAATGGGTTCTTCAAAGAGTCTCCAGCCTCTGCGCTCTGCTTCCAAGACTCTGAGTGCGCTGCCCGCAGCCTATGCTGGCGCGCAGATCGCATCCAGACGGTATGCGGGGACGCTCGCAAACTTCAAGATTCCTACCATCAACAATGAGCCCAACGTAAGAAAAGAGAATGATGGATTTATTCAGATTCAATTTGCTAAGTAGACATCACAGCAACATTACGCGAAAGGCTCGGTAGACCGCCAGAAGCTTCAAGATGCGGTTGCACGTATGAAGAAGCAAGGACCAATACAAGTACCTCTTGCCGTAGGAGGAGAATATGTAGGCCTTTCCACACGTCATACAAGTGTTGTGCCACTCTAACACCCTTCAGATCAACAATTCCTCAATCCTCACCCAGAACAATCCCTCCTCTCACGCCGACGTTATCGCCAAATACTCCAATGCCAGTGCAGCCGATGTCAAGAAAGCCATAGACGCAGCCCTAGCTGCTAAGCCAGCATGGGAGGCGCTTCCCTTCGCCGAACGTGCATCCGTGTTCCTGAAGGCGGCTGACCTCGTTGCCACAAAGTACCGGTACGAGATCATGGCTGCGACCATGGTGGGACAGGGCAAGAATGCGTGGCAGGCCGAGATTGACTCGGCGGCCGAACTGTGCGATTTCCTGAGGTTCAATGTCAAGTATGCGGAAGACACATACGGACATCAGCCCACACACAACTCGCCGGGAGTCTGGAAGTACGTATATGATCTGGTTGTAGCTGGTGAACGAAGCTAACAAGTGCAGCCGCGTTGAGTACCGACCTCTCGAGGGCTTCGTCTACGCCGTGTCACCATTCAACTTCACAGCCATCGGCGGTAACCTGCCTGCAGCCCCAGCCCTGATGGGCAACGTCGTTGTCTGGAAGCCTTCCCCATCTGCGATCGCCTCGAACTGGCTTCTTTACCAGATTCTTATCGAGGCCGGCCTTCCACCAAACGTGATCCAGTGGGTGCCCGGTGATGCCGTGGAGGTAACCCAGGAAGTTCTGGCGCACAGGCAATTCGCATCTCTGCACTACACTGGTAGCACATCGGTCTTCCGTCAACTATACGGCAAGATCGCAAACGGTGTAGCCGAGGGCAAGTACCAGAGCTACCCCAGGATTGTTGGTGAGACTGGAGGAAAGAACTTCCATCTCGTCCACAAAGATGCCGACATCCACAACGCAGCTATCCAGACCGTCCGCGGTGCATTCGAGTACCAAGGCCAAAAGTGCAGCGCCTGCTCCCGTCTATACGTACCGGAGTCCGCATGGCCCGAGTTCAAGGAGATTCTCGTCCGAGAGGTCGAAGCCCTAAAGATTGGCGAGCCCACCGACTTCTCCAACTTCATCGGCCCCGTCATCCACGAAGCATCTTTCAAGAAGCTCTCGGGCGTCATCGACGAAGCCAAGAACGACAGCGAGCTCGAACTCGTCGTCGGCGGCAAGTACGACAGCAGCAAGGGCTACTACATCCACCCAACCATCTACCGTACCAAGAACCCCAACCACCCCCTCCTATCCCGCGAGCTCTTCGGCCCCGTCCTCGTAGCCTACGTCTACGATGACGCGGCGCCCAACGCCTTCGCCAACATCATCAAGCAGATCGACGAGACGTCCGAGTACGCGTTGACGGGCGCTGTCTTCGCAAAGGACAGGGAGACTATCAAGTACGCGTCTGAGAAGCTGAGGGATGCTGCTGGTAACTTCTACATCAACTGCAAGTGCACTGGTGCGGTTGTTGGTCAACAGCCTTTCGGTGGATCGAGGGCTAGTGGGACGAACGACAAGGCTGGTAGTGCGAACTTGTTGGCCAGGTTCGTCAATATGAGAGCGATTAAGGAGGAGTTCATGCCTACGGACAAGGTTACGTATCCTAGCAACGAGGTGTAAGATGGATTACGCAGCGTCGATTGAGGGAGGAAAGCATGGCTTGTTAAGCTAGCATTGGCGTTGGCGTTGCATTGGTACAAATGATTTATGATAAAAGGGAACGACATGTATATGGAATTAGAACGGCGCAAGTTATGTTTCAAAAGTTGTGTTACGAGTCCGCACGTGTGATTTTAGCATGTGATGCTGCGAAGATGTATACAACACAAAACAAGAGCTCGTTGCAGACACGTTCTCATCCGTACGTTCTCATAACTGTAATAAGACTGAGCGCACAAGATGAAACAGCCGGTCTGCAACAGTCTACGTGGAAAGCACCCCTATCGCGGTGAATATAGTGGCGTTACGAAAGCATGATATATTACAAACGCTGATGCTGATGCACACTTCGGAATATCCATTGATCTGCCTACTGGATAAAGTTGGTCTACCTTTTCTGTGGCTTGAACTTGTCGAAATTGCGGACACTAGACAGCTGCCTCAGGCATTAGCGACTATGTAGAACACTCGATCTAAAGAAGAAACTGAACAAATGCGCTATAGTCTACATTAGTATCAAACCCAATGTTGACAAAAGCTTGACGCAATGTAGGTAGCTGTTCGACCTTTCTCACGAATGGGATGAGAGCCGCCTCAAACCCTCATGCACCTTATCCAAAGTCACAACATGTACATGTACCTCGGCAACAACAACAGAAAACGTTGAGAGATGGGTCCAATCTCACGACGCGGCTCAACGCATCTTCTAGAACCTGCATGAGTCGTGATCCGACCCACCAGCTATCGGGAGCCCCGTTCGTTTCGAAGCGAACCCTAGAAGCTTATTTTGGAGCCGCAATGCACGGGGGCGTTCGAGCAATTTCCAGAAGATAGGGTGAAAATACGGCCGTTGGGATCGTGATTTGCATTGTCGGGTCTGGCTTAGAAAACTGAATATTGCGCTTTGCGTGGAGAGATATCCAACAGATGATTTTGGGGTCTGTGTGACTTCCAAGGCTGGTGAGATATGATGCAATTACACCGAATTCCGGGTCGGAATCGGGACAGCACATCTTGGTCCGAACCAGGAGCCAGGGTGGAGCGGAGCGGATTGTGCTGAGGAATCAATGCCGCATCTTATCGTGCGAGGTACCGCTTTGGTGTCAAGTAGCGAGTATGAGATGAGATGAGCCTCGTATGCATACACGCGCAGTGAAGGCAAAGTTGCTAGTATTGCCTCGGTCGTGGTGATGGAGTTAAGCAACTACTCACGCTTCATCAGCTTCAATCATCAGTAAGCATCTCCATGTCCATGCAAACAATACGCGTATGCTCCTCTTTTTAGATCTGAGTCTTAGGCGGAGAGATCGATTTTGACGCCGACGCCGACGCCGACTCTCCGCCCACCATCCGCACGTTAACTCCAGACAGCGGAAACAGCACGAAAATCTCGAGCTTCTAAAAGTAAATCCCTGGAACACCCACAGGGTAACCTCGGCAGCTCGGTACATTCTGCTTCGAGATCGAGAACCCTTGTCAGAGCCCTATGACGCACTGTCCGCGATCTGCAACATGCATAGCGGCACCTTTCCCAGCGCCGCTATCCTTGCCGTGTTCGGCGCCTGCTCTTCGTCTGGCAGCTGTGATTGGCTCCGCGAGCCAAGCTTTCGAATAAGGTGGCTGCTTCGAGCCTAGCGCGACGCTTCGGCCGAGCAGACCTGAGATTTTTGATCATGGTGTCATCGCCTCATGGATCGCACGTTGCAAGCGGATTTGGAGCGTTGCGCGCGAGTCGGGAATGGGGACGCATCCAGATGGTTGGGCAGTCGCCCGGTTTGTTTTGTCCTGGTTATGCATTTGCTAGCGGCGTCTCTTACCGCTGCATCGCATGACTTGTGCGTTCTTTATATGTAGCGTCTCCCGCGGTGATCGTCTTGCTTTCCCACTCCGAGGTTACTTTTCGTCTATATCCTTCCCTTAGATACCCTTTTAATATACCTGGGCATTGTCCCTACATCGCTTCCGTTTTACCCTTTCAACGAATATTATCGATCAATCTTCGACGCCGACACATCGAATCGATCGCATTATCACAATGGAGAAAGACCAACAGGTCTCCGATCGCTCTGCGGCGAACAGCAGTAGCGGAAGTAACATGGATGTCGAGTCTGGAAGGGAAGGCATCTCGCATTGGAAGATGATCACGGATCAGGGTGTTGTGACCAAGGAGATTATCAACTACGACTATGAGGGCGAGGGAACAGAAGAGGATCCCTACGTTGTGGAGTGGATCGACAATGACCCCAGGAATCCAATGACCTGGCCCAAGACGAAGAAGTGGATCATGGCCATTGCGGTCGCCAACTCGGTTCTCGTCGTATCATTCTGTTCATCGGCTTTCTCTGGAGGTATGTATTCCGCGACGCGAGATGAATACAGAACAACATCTAACATATGCCAGGCATCCAACAAATCATGGCTGAGTTCAGCGTCAGCCAGGAAATTGTCACACTCGGTGTATCGCTCTTCGTTCTCGGATTCGCCCTCGGACCTCTACTATGGGCTCCCTTCTCGGAATTGTACGGTCGTCAAATCGTCTTCGTCGGAACATACACTGCTTTCATGGCCTTCAATGCTGGTGCCGCCGGTGCGCCCACCATCTACGGCCTGCTCATCCTCCGGTTCTTCGCTGCCGCTTTCGGTTCCAGTCCTCTCACCAACGCTGGAGGTGTCATTGCCGATCTCTTCTCCGCAAATGAGCGTGGACTGGCCATGTCAATCTTCTCCGCAGCGCCGTTTATGGGTCCCGTTCTCGGTCCGATTATTGGTGGATTCTTGGGCATGACTGAAGGTTGGAGATGGGTCAA